ATGTGTATACTTTCCTTGTTTATATTGGATGTCGTTGATCCCTAATTAATAGTCAGGACTCAGGAGAGATAAGAGAAGGGGAAAAGGGAATTTTTAATGGAGAGAACCTTTAATTAAAATATTTTTTTCGAAAATTTCAACCATTTTTTCTTTTAATCTATCCACTTGTATTCAGTTGGTTATGATGTGAATAATTGCTTGACATCCTTCTATTATTTTTCTCTCTGTCTCTCTCAGTATTTTGTCATGTATTCGGGCAAAACTGTTTAGAAAGTGATGCACACGTTTCTAGGTTCCTTATAGTATAGATGAAGATAACAGAAACTTTTTATGTTTCTTCAGCGTGCTGTATGCTACTATGTTACTGTCTCACACTCAGTTTATGAATTTGTATGTGTTCTCGGTCTTCTACCAAGAATTTTCATTTGAGTTGTTGGAACCAACCTTTCCTTTAGGCTTGAGCCTCTTCTTGACCTTGGAATGAATGATAGCGTCTCGAAGACACGCTGCTTTTCAGAATTTTGAAGTGTCATTATGTTCTGCCATCATTTCTGTTATTTATTAAAGCCGCTTGTATTTGCAGGTTCTTCTGAAACCCATTGTTTCACAGCTTGTCGCTGAACCACCATCATCTCTAGAAGAGCATCCAGACATACCATCCGTAGAGGAAGTTGATAATTTATTAGTTGTTTGTATTGGTCAAATGGCTGTGACTGCAGGAAGTGACCTTTTATGGAAGCCCTTGAATTATGAGGTGATTTTCCTTTTCATGATATTTTACGCTTATATACACAAATCTCTACTTCGATCTTGTCTTTGTCACCGTACACATTCATATGAAGTTGGACTTTACCTAGGTTTCTTAAAGTAGCCGAACACTTGGTTGTTCTAGTCTTTTCAATTTTCTCTCTTTTAGTTCAAAGATTAAGCTTCTCTTCCTACATGTTTGTGTGTGTCCTAACGCTTTTATATTGTGAATCCAGGTGCTGATGCAGACGCGCAGTGACAAGGTCCGGACCCGAATTTTGGGCCTGAGAATTGTTAAGTATTTATTGGAGCATCTGAGAGAAGAGTATCTGGTATTCCTGCCTGAGACCATTCCGATCTTGGGAGAATTGCTCGAGGATGTGGAGCTCCCTGTTAAATCTCTTGCACAGTCGATTCTCAAGGATATGGAGACCATGAGTGGTGAAAGCCTCAGGGAGTACCTGTGAATGCAGTTCATACACTGACGTTGGCCGAGCTTTTTTGCATCCCAGCGGTCGCTTTGCTCTAATTACCGATGCCAATGCAGTATCCCTCATCTTAGGAACGCGTTTATGCGCGGTCCGAGCGGAACTGTAAAAGTTTATGGTTCGGACAGCACCCGAATTATAGGTGGTGGTGGTGTATGTATATAGGCGCAGCCCGCAGGTTGAGCCTTTGAATTTTTGTAGGTTTGTTTGCATATAGTTTTCAAAGTTAGTATTTGCTTCTTTGCAATTCTCTTGGCAACCGCTTCATCTAGTCTATCTTTATTACCATTTACTTTACACTCTGCATAGCGCGATATGCTCAGATACAACTCGTTTGGAAGTGCTTTTAAAAGACTGAAAGTGCTTTTAGAAAAAATCTTTTTAGGTTTCAAAAGCACTTGAACTGCTTGAAAGAAGCAATCCAAGTGTTTTTTTTTTAGGATTCACTTAGATTTTTATCATGTTTTGTTCTAAAAACATTTTCATCAAAAGCACATTTAATTACTTTAATTGTACTTAGCAGACAATCATATGAATGCGTTTGTTTCAACTTTCTAGTTAAAACGAACCTTCTGTGAGTTATATATTTGGTTGGGGGTTTAGTTCAGCAAGCAATCAAAACTTTCACTAGTTAGTTTCTTGTATCCTAAATTTAGATTTGACTCTTGTGAATAACGATACCAAATTGTCATGGCCAGAGTTCAATTTTCTCACCGTTTTAACTTAGTAAACGCATAAGACGACGTGGGAGCATCATTGGAATATGGAAATATAATGAGCAAGTGGTCGGCCCATTGGGCTTATTCGATGGAATCGGATACAGGCCTTCAACAATGACAGCAACAAGCCCTTTCTAATTGGAAGAAAAAAGAAAGAGAAAAAAAAAAGTGAAAGAGAACATGGGGTTCGCCGGACTTCCACATCTACGGAGTCTCCGCCGTTAGTTTTTTTACTACGCGCGCTCCTCCTTCCCGGTCTGTTTCTCATTCGCGCACTCCACTGGAGGGTTTTGGACTCGCAAAACTCTCAAGCATTTCCATCAACTGCAACTCAAAACCTTTCAAATTTCAATCTAAGGTACCTGCACATTTCCTTGTCAACCGATTTTCAAACTGATTTGTGTTTGTTTTCTGTTTGGTTCCCGAGAAAATATTGATCCTGGAATTCTTGTTATTTGGGTCGATTAATCTGTTCAAGATGAACATCTGTACGGTGTTGTTGTGCCCCGTATGTGTTTGAACAAATGTCTCTGTGAATCCAACAGGGAGCTCGAGATGCTGCCGAGATGGAGCGGAGCTGTTGCTCAGCTCTCGAGGTTGGGTACGCAGCAGAACCTGAATCTCAGAAACGAATTCTATGTTTTTTCGCGCCAAAGTTATGCCAGGGCTTCTGCTACTGCTGCGGTGGCTCCGGATACGGCTTTTACAGTGGAAAAACCTCTCCCTGCCGAGCAAGTGGTACGATTTGGAGCTACCCCTTTGGTTATAGTAATCAAGCTTGCTGATTTAAGTAATTATTGGTTGTAATTTGAATTGGGTTTGATGGTTTTCTTGTTAATCGGCATAGATTATCCTGAAATTAAATCACTAATGGCGAACGTGTTTTCTCATGATCGTGTATCTGTGGTTATGTTTGCATATTTTTATTGTTTTAAGGTTTCTGGAATCGGTTCATTGTTGAGACTTTGGGTAACAATGTTGGACAGGTAAATTTGGACAAACTGTTTTGGTCTAAGCCCTCCTCATTGGCTTTGGCCCCAGACTCCCCATTGAGAATTGATGAGCCACAATATGGGAGGTTTAGGCGTGCGATTCTTACGATGTTGCTGTTTTATAGCAAACAAAGCAAGTCTATTCGAGGGGCCAATGTCGTGTATAAGCGAATCGTTTCACAAATTGATAAACCGGGCATCTATGAAGGTCATTTCTTCCTCTCAATTTATTTTCTCCTGATCAGAGGGGGTGGTTTAATTTTCAAATGAGCATAAGTTTGAATGGGGAATGGGGCATTTTTTTGTAGCCAAAAAAGGATGTTTTGGGTTTTCCGTGTTTGTGCAGTAACACCTCCACATCATATAATCAATGTAACAGAATCAACCATTTTATCTTTTTCATTTTTAAATTATTCTCACCTTTTGTAGGAGATGAGAATTTTCTATTTTTTTGGCCCAGTAAACTGTCTATATGTGTTAGGAAACTTTACTTGAAATAACTTCACTTACATAGTTCTGTGTAGGAACTAAACTGTTCTCCTAAATGTGCAGTATTCAATTTGGAGAAAACCTTTAAGACAACATTCTCTCTACTTGTACTTCATATGTGGCTTTGCTTACGCCGGTTGAAAGGAGAGGGAAAGGATGGTGTTGAATTCGGGCAATACATATATGAGATTTACAATCATGATGTGGAACTTAGAGTATCTAAGGCTGGGGTACGTTCCCTTAAGTTAAACCTAAATATTCTGCTTTGAACTTAATATTGACAGTTTAGTTGCTTTTTCGTGAGGTTTTTCTAGATTAAATCGAGTTCATCTATCTTTGAAAAGAACTCAATAAGCTGTTGCTAATAACCTTTCTTTGTGTTATACTATTCAACGCCCTTGGGTTTGAACTTTTTTCCTTCTGGCATAAGAAGTTATGAGAGCATAGGATTTACCGTTAAGCTGTTTAACATCTTTGATGCAACATACTTGGAGGCTAATAATATTTGAGACTTCAGCATTAGGAGAGCATAGGATTTACCGTTAAGCATGCTGATTGATTAATTTACCCTTGAAATCTCAGGTCAACTTACTACTGTCTAGATGGATGAAGGATTTGGAGAAGATTTTCTATGGAAATATTGTTGCCTATGATGCTGCCGTGCTTCCAGAGGCTAAACTGGATGATCTGCAAAATGTGATATGGAGGTAAATACAGCATCAACCCTCCCGAGCCCCAACATAAAAATTATCAAACATTTAATCATGGGATAAATATTAACCTTCTGCACTGACGTTGCAGGAATGTCTTTTCCGACGATGGTTCATCACAACCAACTGGAGATGCATCACGAGCAGTCCAGGCATGTTCTCTTCCTTGACCGGCACACTTTCAACTGCATTTAGCATTAACTAATAACTCTCCCATATGATGCATAGAGTTAAAATGAAAGTTTGTGTACATGCAGGCAATGGCAAGATATATTCGCCGGGAACTTCGTTGCCTGTCGTTAACAGGTATTCCTTGTTTGTTCTTTGCATTTCCTGTTCCGCATTCGGTATTTCTGATGTTGTTAATTTGTTTCCCTTGAGATTGCACAAAAACTCTCATCTCTTGACGAGATATAACGTTGTAATTCGGATGTGCAGATAAAGAAGCTATGTTTTCTGGTAATTTCATGTTTACTCCACTGAAGCGCGAGAAAACGAAACCGGAGGCCTCCAAATGAGAATCCATCTACTCACTTTCAAGTTTCTGTCGTTTGGAAGAAAAAATTTCACTCCAATCATAGACATGTAAAAACGGTCACAATAAAATATTTTGTAAAATTATCAAAGGTAAATATTTTTGTTTTTATTGTTATTTTTATATATTTTTTCTTGAAACCGCAATTCAATAATACAAAAGGAGAGGTTGTGGTGTTTTTGCTCTGGTTTTTCAAACATGTGTGAATCCCAATTTTTTTTCCTTTTCTAACCAGGATTACGTAGTGTTACTATTTTATGTGCTATAATATAAGTGTACGGTTGTTAAGAAGTCTCACTAAGGTATAATTTAAGCAAAGTAACATAATAGCAGTGTTCCAGGTATACCAAAAAACTTATAAACAGCACAATTAAGCCAGGAAATGTCATGAAACACCTTTTTTTTTGCCACTATTATTGGTACTTCGAAAATTTAATTGTGTACTTCTCATAATGATTTTTTTTTTTTTTTTAATATAGAAATTTTGGAGGGCACAGTTAAAATTTTGAAATATGCAATTAATAGAGTAAAAGCGAATTACCCTCTAGCCTTATTGAAACATTGACCTGAAGGTCTGTTCTTTGGGTTTGGGATCTTATTCATATATCACACAGGCTTGGGGGCCTGATTCTTAATGGGCTTCGGCTCATTGATATGGGTTTAGTCATATAAAATGTCAAAGGCTCCCCTGGACCCTCTGGATGGGTCCCACTTGCCACCAGAGGATGGGTCCCACTACCCACATTTCCCACAATATCTGAGGATCTTTCTCCCATTCAATTCATATGTCCGTTTACGTGCTCCATCTCAAGGTTCTTCCGTCAACTATTCAACCTCTGTAAAAACCCAACTTTCAAATCTTCTTGTTTCCTTCCCCTCCCTCCCTCCCTCTCTCTCTCTCTCTCTTCTTTCTCTCTCTACAGTTACTTCACTCGCACGCAACACTTCCTCTTGAAACCAAAGCCTAAGAGGTTACTGTTCCATTACGGTTTTCTCCTTCGCACGCCAAGAAACACATTTTCCTTTTCTCTCAGATTTCGCTTTCCTCATATATTCTCTCCCTCGATTTTTCACATATACCAACAAAATCTTATTCGATCTTCTCCAATACCCAGAATCTAATTTCCCCAAATTCATGCAAATTCGCAGTCTTTCTCCACCGACCACCATGAACTTTTTGAAAATTTTCCTTCTTTTTTCCCTGCTTCCGGTGGCGTTTTCTCACGAGACCTTCGACTCCCGCCTCCTGCCGCGGCCGTTGATCCTTGAATACCCAGACATCGCCGCCCACTTCAATGATTTGGAGAATGAGCTCAGATTACACTGCGACAGCTGGAGATTTTCTGTGGAGGCAAACAATGTCAATCCCTGGAAAACAATCCCCGAGGAGTGTGCCGAGTATGTCAAGGATTACTTGACGGGTCGGGCTTACGAATTCGATCTCGAAAGGGTGTCTAAGGAGGCTGGGGTTTATGCCAAGCGTGTTGAATTGAATGGCGACGGGAAGGATGTGTGGATTTTCGACATTGATGACACTTTGCTTTCCAACCTTCCGTATTATGCTGACCATGGTTATGGGTATGACTCTTCAACATGCCCTTTGAGAAATTTAAATTTTGTTTGTTTTATTAGAAAGTGTAGCAAATTTTTAATTTTCATTGTTCCAACTTGTTAATACTAGAAATTCAGTCAGACTCTTCAATTCAACAAATTGAATTACTTGAATGAGAATTCTTATTTCGAAAATTTGAATTGAGAGTTGTAGAAGGCGGTTTTATAGCCGAGATTTCGAAAGTAAATTGGAATGTAGGAACTCGGAACACTGATAATATATTGAATCTATCAACTAGAAAGGTTTATGTTGTTAAAAAAGTATAACCAGACTCCTGTTTTCTAAATTTCATTGAATTTTATCATGATCTGTTGGTTTGGGTTTTTCGTTTTTTGATGACATATTTGTCTACTGATGTGGATATTCCGATATTGTGTGTAATTTTGAAGCTTGGAGGTGTTTGATACGGTGGAGTTTGATAAGTGGGTTGAGAAGGCCATGGCACCTGCTATAAAGTCCAGCTTGAAATTCTATGAAGAGGTCTTGAGTTTGGGTTTTAAGGTTTTCTTGCTCACGGGGCGCACCGAAGGGAAAAGGAAGGTTACTGTTGAGAATCTGAACAATGCAGGATTCCGAGAATGGCATAAGCTTATTTTGAGGTGAGTATGAATGTCGCTTATGAATTGATATGGAGCTGAATTGTTGTATTGCATTGCCTGACTAGTATAAGTACCCATATTTCTATTGCATTTGATGTTTTAGCATGAGTAATCGTTGTAATTTTGAAGAAATGTTAGGTTACCTGTCTTGTTGCCGTAACTGTGGGTAGGAGTAGGACATGTGAAAATTAAGAACAATGCAGGATCGTGACTGTTAAACATAGACAAACTTTATAGGCTTATAGCATTAGCATGAATAATCGTTTTTCTTTTCATCTTTCAGGCTGCTCTCGGTGGAGTAGAATAGATGAAGTGTTCAGTTTCTTCCATGGTCTTTTTGTTATAATGTCGATCGTCCTTCCATCCTTTTTCCATTATTGCAGTTACCTGGGGTGGGGTACAGATCCGTCACTTTCTTGCATAATTACTTAGTTAGAAATAGAAATTGTTGATGCACAAAATCAGTGAGACTTTGGAACAACATAAAGCGTCAAGTTTGTGACCTTTGCTCGGTTGCTCCGGTCACTGGTGAGGATAATATATGTAAAGAGATAGAGATAGGGAAGCAAACACAAGATGTATGTGGTTCACTCTAAGTTTGGCTACGTCCACGGAGTAGAAGAGTTCTCATTAATAATGAAGGGTTTACACTTTACACAAATACATAGGTTCAAGCATAATCATCATTAGTGAGTTCTAATGACTAGTTTAAGCACAGTAATGACATTAGGGATTAATCGTAGGAGAATGGTCTCCTTTTATAGTTGAGGAGAGTCTTTAGCTTTTGTCCGCGATAGATGTGAGACTCTATGAGCTTTATTCTGACGTTGACATGTGTCGCGATGTGATTGACCTCCAGGTTGGAGGGAAACTGTTGTGCTTCGACAAGGGTGCCTCAACATGAACCTCTCAGTGGGTTCTTGAAGGTATGACGTTGACCGGTGCTCGGTAGTTTCGGGATTGGTCAAGTATGGTACAAACAGAAATGATTGAAATAGAAGAAAGTAGGTTCAATCAGATGAAAATATGATTTAGTTTTTAGTTGTGTCCTGCACATGCGCATATACATTAGCACACATCACTATTAAGGGCACACCACCCCTATGGGCGTGTTATCTAAGATGAAACGATGGCTTTAACTATTTTGAATTTAGTTTGATAATTAGACCCAATCGCTTTGTTAGAGGTGGTTGGTGCACAGTTCTGATGATTTCATCCTGGTTTCCGGATGAATGTTTAGTTTCCTTTTTGTAAATCTGTAAATATCATTGCATCATGTGTTTTTCACGTCATTCTAACGCTGATATTCGTCAATTGAGTAGACAAATTAATGACACTGTTATTTGATGATTGTGTCTGAATAGAGAGCGTAAACTCGAAGCTTTCTTTTTAAGACAATGCTCATTATATATGCCATCATAAAGCTTCTGACTTTAGGTCATTGTGCTACTTTAGGTCCTTGTACCAGCTTCTTAATGGCCATTCGAAATTCTGAATCCTATGTTTGTTTTATGTACTATGCAGGTCCGCTGATGACCACGAGAAATTGGCGATAATTTACAAGTCCGAAAAGAGGAGTGAGATGGAAAGGGAGGGATATAGACTGCTTGGGAATTCCGGAGACCAGTGGAGTGATTTGCTGGGTACCTCAGTCGCCCTCCGCTCGTTCAAGCTTCCGAATCCCATGTATTACATTCCGTGATAGGGCAGGCATCGTTCGTTTCAAAACTCGTACCGATGAATGCAAATCAAGCTGTCTTAGAATTGTCGTGCAGCTTGTACTGATTTAATTCATGATGCCATACACCAATAATACAGTGAATTGTTCATATCAAACTGAATCGTGTATAGAGAGAAAATTGCAATGTAGTTCTTTGGATGCTTGGAATTGTACAGGGCCACTTTTATGAGTACTTGAGTTGTATTATTATGAAAACGCTTTTAAAGAAAATGTTTATGGGTATCAAAAGCATGTGTGCTTATGGCTGGAAACACTTCAAGTGTTTTCATATGATTTACCTGTAGTTTTACTAAAGATTTGTTCTAAAAATATTTCTACCAAAGACGCTTTTAGTTATTTTAAAGCATTTTCAAACAAGTTCATTATTCATATATTTTGGTCCTCCACCTGACATAGTATTGGAGGTCCGAGAAGCCATCTTGATGGCATATTGGTTCAATGAAAGTCCTCCCTCCGTACATCCCACCACTCCCTGTGGATCCTCCTCCTAGTCCTCCCGTTTTAATCAAACCCGGTCCGGGTTCGCCTATTCGGACCCTCATAACAGCCGCAAAAAAATTTGTACACGTAATCATTAAGGGAATTCGAATTTAGGTAATGAGGATGCTTTTTAGATTCTTTTTGTAAGGATCTTAAAAAATTTTAAATTATATTCGTTTATCGTATATCGTGTGATTAAAAATTATTTTAAATATTTTTATTTAAATTTAAACATAAACAATATCTGGCAAATATACGATGAATGATACAATTAATTTCCGAAATCGGCATAAAGAAAATCAGGAAAAATTCCTCATTCAGGCACATACTTAATAACTTAATCGTCCAGTAAATGTCGTAGACGTGTCCGTAGAGTCTGACTTTTTCTTTGACGAAACATCGTGTCTCACGTGGTGGGGAGATCCTACGCGTTTGATTTTGATGAAGAAGCTGGGCCCCAAAAACACCACATACTTTGGTGATGGGGGCCACCGAACAACGCATCAATCCCTGCCGTTAATTAACAAATGGTCTCCAACCGCCGCTTAACCTTCATTAGTTACAAATTAATAATGAGCAAGATCCTAATATGTATCTTTGACCCAAAAAAAAAAATTCCAATCTATATTTATTGTAGCGTTCTAGTTCAATGATAAATTATTATGTTGAAAAAAGTTTACATTTACCAATGCATTATTGAACTGAAATACCACATAATTGTGAACATGTTTCATATAAATTAGTCGTCATATATATTTTAGAAAACTTAATAAAATAGGCTATTGTGGTACCAAAAAAACCATAAGATTTCCTTCTGCCCTAAGTTATTGACGTGTACTTAAATTAATCTAAATAATAGATTAATTTTAACTAATTTTTACTTACAAACGCACGACTCAATTGTAATAAAGATATGCATCTAAGATGTTGATTCTACAAGGATTGCGTTAAAATCAATTAAGCGTATAGTTACGCCAAACTTAACTAAACAAATGGGTGATTGAATTTAAGGATTGGTCAAAACTAAAATTAACAAATGAATTAAAAAGTTAACAAAACAAAAGACAACGATGAAAACGAGTTTTGGAGATTAAGATGTGCGCCGAATTTACGGCTAATAATCCATTCTTTTTTTCTTTTTCTTTTTTGAAAAAGGCTAATAATCCAATCTAGCTTCTCAACTACCTATCCGTTGACTAATCCAATTGATGTTGTTGATTAGTTTTCCTTATGGGGCACTCTATTTATACTAGAAAATTCTAGAAGGTCTCGTAAAAACCCTACTAAAAAGAAACAAAAACTTAAACAACATCAGACACAAACAAGTGAAGAATCATCAGACGCAAACTGGGAAATTACGATTGTTCCACCTTCTAGAAAATTCCAAAAAAATAGGAAACTCGTATCTGTATCTTATATTTCCAAGCATATATGTCACATCACCATGAAAAATTGCAAGAGCCTTCAAATCTTCAATCTCCTACAACTGCACAATTATGACAGGAATGTAATTTTCACAGGAATGATTTGCAAAACTGGAATGTTCGGCTCCATGAAAAATATATGAAATTCAGACAAAATGATCTCTAGCCTCTTAATGTCCTTCTCCAATTGGTCATGCATTAAAACTCCTCTAAAAAATCAATTATCATGAAACGTCTTTAGTGCACAATGTGGCTAAATTGAGAAAAAAATAAAATAATAAAGCTCTTTTAAAACCAACCCTTTAACAAAACCAAAGGATAATTGACATGAAAAATGCCAAGCTTTGATACATAGCATGTTGAAGAAAAACCTCAAAACTCATTATATTAAAGTAAAAAATGGCTTTTCACCGATCCCCGACTTGCATTGACGTTATGTTTCAAATTCATATATATTTTGCCACTCAATATTTTTGTTTAATGGTATTCCTCTTTACTGATATTCCTCTTCATTTGCAAGTATAACTTAACCAAACTATTTATCCCCTTAACTTAAAATATATCATTATACTAAAAAAATGAAATTCATATATATATTTTTTCCGGCAATATCTTTTAAATACATAAATTAATATTCAATATCAACTAGCGGTATTTATTATTTACCGTCGTATTAAGGTAAAAAAGAATCTCCATTGACCCGAACAACGCATCAATCCCTGCCGCTAATTAACAAATAGTCTCCAACCGCCGCTTAACCTTCATTAGTTGCAAATTAATAATGAGCAAGATCCTAATCTGTATCTTTGACCCCAAAAAAAAGAAAAAAAATTCAATCTGTATTTATTGTAGCATTCTCAATGATAAATTACTATGTTGAAAAAAGTTTACGAGTGCCAATGCATTATTGGACTGAAATACCACGTGACTGTAAACATGTTTCAGAGAAATTAGTCTTTATATATATTGTAGAAAACTTAATAAAATAGGCTATTGTGGTACCAAAAAAAACCATAAGATTTCCTTCTGCCCTAAGTTATTGATGTGTACTTAAATTAACCTAAATAATAGATTAATTTTAGCTAATTTTACTCACAAACACACGACTCAATTGTAGTAAAGATATGCATGTAAGACGTTGATTCTACGAGGATTGCGTTCAAATCAATTAAACGTATAGTTACGCCAAACTTAATTAAACAAATGAGTGATTGAATTTAAGGATTGGTCAAAACTAAAATTGACAAAAGAATTAAAAAGTAAGCAAAACAAAAGACAATGATGAAAACGAGTTTTGGAGATTAAGATGTGAAGACACTACGACACCGAATTTACGGCTAATAATCCAATCTTTTTTTCTTTTTCTTTTTTGAACAAGGCTAATAATCCAATCTAGCTTTCAACTACCTATCCGTTGATTAATCCAATTGATGTTGTTGATTAGTTTTCGTTATGCATAAACTTAGGGCACTCTATTTATCCTAGAAAATTCGAAAAGGTCTCGTAAAAACCCTCCTAAAAAGAAACAAATACTTAAAAAACATCAAACACAAACAAGTGAAGAATCATCACACACAAACTGGGAAAGAATCATTCTTCACTTGGGAAACACGTAAGTTACTTTGCAAGCCAAATTACAGTCGTTCCACCTTCTAGAAAATTCCAAAAAAATAGGAAACCTATATTTGTATCTTATATTTCCAAGCATATATGTCACATCACCATAAAAAATTGTGAAAGCCTTCAAATCTTCAATCTCCTACAACTGCGCAATTATGACATGAATGTAATTTTCGCGGGAATGATTTGCAAAACTGGAGTGTTTGGCTCCATGAAAAATATATGAAATTCAAACAAAATGATCTCCAACCTCTTAGTTTCCTTCTCCAATTGGTCATGCATTAAAACTCCTCTAAAAAGTCAATTATCATAAAAAACGTCTTTAGTGCACAATGTGACTAAATTGAGAAAAGAAAAATAATAAGGCTCTCTTAAGACTAATCCTTTAACAAAACCAAAGGATAATTGACATGAAAATATAGACAATAATACACCTATAAGTTATTCCACTGTTTTGGTGTATAAACATACCAAACTAAATTCAAAAACAAACTTGCTCAGAAGAGCAAACAAAGTTCATCTAATCTATTGGTCATGTGTCAGTATTGTTTTTCTTTTTTTTAATATTATTTAATTACAATAATTGAACAAATATGGACCTGAAAATGGTTTCCAATTTCTTACTCTCCCCAATATTTTAATTAAATGACAATAACCTTGCAGCTCGTTTGTTAAATATGAACAAAATGCCAAAAATTGCTTCCAAAGGGAAATTAAAATACGCGTATTTTGTAACGATTTTGCAGCTAAAAATTTCATAGCATGATGTGACATTCCTCCTTCCTTAGACCCCTTCACATTTTTAATCATCAATACCAATTTTAGGCAAGTGGTGTAATAAAATCGAACACAATAGTTCAGATGCAAATATAAGTTATTTTTCACTCTTTGAATACATGCTCTTTACTTCAAAACACAAAATCTCGAATATATACAGATGTAACGTCCTTAATCGCTTTAAATGCAGAACATTTGCTTTAAGAAAAGAAAGAAAAGTACCACTTTTCACAAAGGCAACTACTTTTTGTCTCCAGCTTCTAAATCTCACTATTCCTTCCTTCCATTAGCACATCAATCAGAAAAAGACACAAGGTCCATGCAAAAATGCAATGCGGAATATTAATTGGGTGGCAAAAGTGAACTTTCACACACTCAAAGCACAAAAACAAGAGTCAAAAACAGGTGCAACATCACATGGCTTAGATCTATCCTCCCAAGTTTTCGGCCATACCATATTAGCTCATCTTCTCATCTCCCTTCTCCAACTCCATCACCTCTCTCTCTCTCTCTCTCTCTCTCTCTCTAAAATCTTGGGTTCCACACACAACTCTCCACCCAAAAGTACAATTCCATCCCAATCCTCTGGACTCCTACTTGCATTTAAATCTTTCCCCATGAAAGTTATCCACACCTGCAATATGTTCATCATCTTCTCAACTCCCCACATCAAAACCAGATCCCTCAATTGGGTTTTCCTCCAATGTTTCACATGAAGAAATTGCTTTTTTTGACACAATGAACAGAACCCAGGTGCTAAATTTGATTCTTGCACTGACTTCATCAACAACTTTGGTGTTTTTCCTACTTTTCATCTACTTTTACTGCAAGAAAACTGCAAAGAGTGAGCAAAAGGATGTGGAAAAAACAGAGCAGAAGCAAGAGGAAGTCGTGGAGGCAGAGGAGCTGGTGACTTTTCAGGATGGGGAGGACTTAACAATATGTGACATTCTGGATGCTCCGGGGGAAGTGATCGGAAAATCAAACTTCGGTACGCTGTATAAGGCGCTGTTGCAGAGCAGCAACTCGGTGAAGTTGCTGAGGTTTTTGAGGCCTGTTTGCACTGCAAAAGTTCAAGATTTTGGTGAAGTTATTCGGCTTTTGGGGTGCATAAGGCATCATAATTTGGTCCCTCTTTTGGGATTTTATGCAGGGCCGAGAGGTGAGAAGCTTTTGATTCATCCGTTTTATTGGCGCGGCAATCTGGCTCAGTTTGTGAGAGGTGATGATTCTAATTTCTCTTTCCTTGTTTGATCAGTTTGTGTTTTTGTTCTGTTTGGTTGCCGAGAAAATCCCCAAGAATATGAAAAGAATGAAACTTGAATCTCTTGATTTGTTCGGTTTATGAGGATTTTGTGTTTTGCCATTGTGTTTCAAAAGAACCGAATCAAAAAGTTTTGGCTTGAAAAAACCTGTTCTGTTTTCCGAGTCTGCATTGCTTCTGCTTTCGACTATTCTGTTTTCTCTGCATAATTTTGATCTCCTTTGTGCATGTTGTACAACCATATTTGGTTTCTTTCCTTCTAAATTTATATATATTGCTTGTCGGAATGAAACTTCTCTGATGTCATTATAGCGGAATTCCAAGCTGACACATACTTTCAGTCGTTTTAACTTTCCCCATGTGACATTGTGTGATTAAATTAGGATACCGCGAAATGACATCTCTATCTTTTCTTATCATTGCCCAATTTAGAGATGTTCTCTTAGAAGTTGTCTTTGCCTGTTTAACTTTAGTTCCCATTAACTATAAATTGACAGACAACCTTTGTTTTCAATGGCAGAAAGCAATCCCGACTCTCACAAATGGCCCATAATCTATAAAATCTCAGTTGGTATAGCCGAAGGCTTGGATCACCTTCATACCGGCTTTGAAAGGCCGATAATTCACGGCAATCTCAAGTCGAAAAACATACTCTTGGGTCACCATTATTGCCCTTTCATATCCGATTTCAGCCTCCATCTTCTGCTGAATCCAACTGCTGGCCATGAAATGCTTGAAGTCTCGGCATCCGAAGGCTACAAAGCACCTGAGCTGATGAAAATGAGGGATGCGAACGAAGAGACCGATATATACAGTCTTGGGGTTATCTTGCTTGAATTTCTCACAGGGAAGGAACCCATCAACCAAAACCCTACAACTCCTGATGAGGATTTTAGTTTGCCAGATTTCATGAGAAATGCAGTGCTTGGACATAGAATTCATGACTTGTTCCATCCAGATTTGCTTCTCAATAGCAGCGCTGGCTACGGAGAAATCCCCGTCACAAAAGAAAGGATTCTCAAATTCTTTCAGCTTGCTATGGCATGTTGTGCTCCTTCTCCATCACTTAGACCAAACTCCAAGCAAGTTCTGTCGAAGCTTGAAGAAATTGGAAACTGAAAACTATGAGCTTTGTTTGGGCAGGGGAAGTAGTAACTACACCTAAGATGATACTGTAACGCAATTTCACGTCAACAACGCATTGTCACGTAAAATAGTTGATCACATGACAGTGCTTAGATGATTTAAGATGCCGCCACTCTTACACTTCCATGTGTAAAGTAAGTTTCTCTCGTTTGAAGACCATAGAGCCTTGATTCGAGGATATTTGTATTTTGCAAAATCTGCATGATTGATGGCCACGACAACAACAACTCAGTGACCATATTGACATAAACATGTATAGGAAAAGTATAAGTGGAGGTGTACCATATTGACAAATTCAAGATGATAAGTTGGTGATTTAGTTTGTCAGATTGCATATTTCTTTATTGCCAAGTAATGAGCAGCCCTAGACAATGGATTCCATATGGTCCCACCTAGCTTTCATATTGTGGAACACAAATTTATAAAAGAAGGTGCCTTTAATCAGAAGTAAGCAATGAAATTATGCATTTTACTGAAGTTTTTTTTAGCTAAAATGGTATTTGAGATTGACATAATTTTTTATTTTGATAGCTGAGATTTAAAATCGATAGAATTAGTTATTGAGTTTGTCCACCGTCAAACATTTTGCTCATTCTATGAAAAATCTCGATTAAATAAGGATAAAATAACAAAAATACCCTCACTTTTGTCAAATCATTTTGATCAATTATTTATTAAATTAAAGATATTTTTATCATTTTGATCCTCATTTAACGATCAATTTGATCATTATCAAATCTCAAACCATTTTGGCTAAAATTCTTTTATCTAAATTCAAATTTGTTTGCAACTTTGACCTAACCATTTAAGCTTCATAGCTCGATTATGGAATAAGCGTCTTTTCTTTTGTGAAAATAGATTTTTGATATCCCAATCTCATCAATAACGTGCCAATAACATTGTAGACACAAAAATGTGTCATGTTATTTATACAATATCGGCAATATCGATAATACGTTGGTACTCTAATAGACCCCCTGCAGATAGAATAAATGAAATTGTCCCAAAATAATTTAGATTAAGTATATTCTAACCTTGAATATTGGAAACTTGTTTAGTTTGTTTCCTGTTCATTCCTTGATTATATAAAATACATGGTGGGTGGTGGGTGGGCATAAGTTGCTCTGAGTCCGACTGTGAGAGATCACCATCTAGCTGGGGTGTGTGGAGGAGGTATGACAATATTGTGACCATCCAAAATAAGGCTTTATAACTGAAATGATCATTCAGATTTGCATAACACATCACTTTGGTCCCTGAGATTGAAAACCAATAGAAATGTTCCCTGAGATTGTCCATCATCCATTATTTTGGTCATTCCGTTAAAAACTCCGTGAAGTGTCTCAAAGCTTTTGGCCGTAAGTTTGGGCAATTTTCAAAGCTTCGTAACTCTATCGTTTCTTAACCAAATTCGACCCATAATATATCAAAACAAAGATAGAGAAGTTTATAACAAGATTATACCTATTTGGAAGCCCAATGGTTGCCGTAGATAGCCGGAAAATAGCCTGAAAGGTGACTGGAAGCAAGAAAACTGGAAAACTAACTAGGTAAATTTTAAACGTTCATAACTTTTTCAATACTCAACGAAATTGAGTGATTCATAAATGAAAATCATACTTCTCAATGAGAGGAAGAGAATGGTACCTTTCTTAACTGCTAATTCATCGTAGTTTGGCTGGAAAATGACTCGAAAGTGGCTAACTTGAGACCAAGACAGCCACTTTCGAGTCGTTTTACGGCCAAACCAAGGTGATTTAGCCGTCAAGAAAGGTACCACTCTTTTTGTCTCATCGAGAAGTATGATTCTTGTTTTTGAATCACTCAATTTCGTTGATTATTGAAAAAGTTATGAACGTTTAAAATTTACTCAGTTTCCGGCGAGTTTTACAGTTCTCTAGCTGACTAGTCGACTTTCAGGCTATTTTCTGGCCATCTCTGGCAAACATTAGGCTTCCAAATAAGTATAATCTTGTTCTACACTTTTCTATCTTCATTTTGATATATTATGGGTCGAATTTGGTTAAGAAACGATTGAGTTACGAAGCTTTGAAAATTGCCAAAACTTTCGGCCAAAGGCTTGAGACACTTAACAGAGTTTTTAACGGAATGACCAAAATAATGGATGATGGACAATCTCAAGGACCAAACTGATGTGTTATGCAAATCTCATAGACCATTTTGACTAAAAAGCCCCAAAATAATAATAATAATAATATTATAAGTAGAGTACACTGTTATAATGACGTTTTATATCAATATGTACAATAAAAGAGCTTCTTTTCATCTAATATTATATCATTGGCATGAAACATGTGCTATATGCATTGTTCTTCAGAGTAAAAAAAATATTTTAATATGACGCTCACGCTATTACACAATACGATTAATCAATTTGCGTGTTATAATATAAATAAATAATTTAATCGCTTCTTTTATAAACTCATATTACCATATGATCATTGTTGCACTGCTTTAATGAAATTGACACTTTTTTGTCAAGATCATTTTGCCAATTTAAGCCCTAGGAGTACCAAACCAAACAAATATATAAAATGGTTACATACATGGCATGACACGTGGTACATTGGTATGACACAGGACCACCACACCCTCTTTTCCCAACAAATTTTGCCGCAATTTTGAAAAAGACTAATAGGTGTTTTAAACGTAACGTCGTATGATTGATTTAAAATGTTAGTATTTTGTTACTTTCGTTTTATATGTGATCATAATTTTTCATGTCTACAGTAAAATACTTTCTGGCCTTCAATTCTTGAGTCTTATACTTTTTTTTGTTGTTGGATGAAACAGAAATTCCATTGAAATTTGAAACCATTGATGAATTCAACTACTTACAGGATATCCAACTCTGAACACTACCTAATGCCAATTAACAAAGGAAGATGCTATTGTTCTCCCGACTTCCACTCCATAATTGCAGAAAGAAGAGTATAATTTGGCATTACATTCTTGTTTGGCAACGGCACATTTGTCACCGGCGAGTTATCGTTCTCTTCGAGCCATGTCTCGATCGCTTCGCGGTCGTAAGTGTAACCATCTGCGGCCACACAAGGCTCATTCATCACATCCTGCAACGAAAGATAGCATACAGATTACTAGGTGGAATTATTGCATGAAACTACGTATTCTTTATTTTGGATATGCGGATCAAACAATTGTCACACATCAAGACTCACTAATGTGGCATTTAACGGTAAGAATTTGACATTGAACTGCAAGCGATTATGCGTACCTTAAGAATTGGACAGATGAAGTGGTTAGGAGGTAGGCAATGAACCGCAGAAGCTGAATTTTTCGCTGCATAAGCAACCTCCTTCAATCTCTCAAGTAGAGGAACTACTTGTTCTTTCAAGTCAGGTCTGTCTATGCGTCGAAGCTCTGCGCAGCTCAATCCCAATTTAGCCAACTGCCTTGTCTCTTCCATTGGCCAAAGACCGGCTTTAGGGTCCAAAATATCCGTTAAATTTTTATCGTTAACAGCTGTTTCTACCAGATGTGTTATAGCTCTTGCTGGTTTTGCAGTAAGCAACTGCAAGATCACCATTCCGAAAGCATAAACATCCGATTGTGGAGAGATTATTCCTGTCCTTTGATACTCGGGGTCTATGTAAGAGAGAGTTCCAACTGGCCCTGTGTCATTGTATATACTTGACGTAGAAGGATCTGAATTAAGCATTGTGGCAAGGCCAACGTCGCCAATCTTGCTCACAAGGTTATGATCTAGCAAGATATTTGCCGGTTTCAGATCACGATGGATGATTGGTTTTGGCTTTGAGCTGTGAAGAAAGACGAGAGTTGAGGCTACCTCCCAAGCAATTCGGAACCTCTCAAACCAAGGAATAGGAGGTGTACCATTTTTCTGCAGCAACCTGTCCTCCAAGCTACCATTTTCCATGTACTCGTAGACTAGGCTACTGTGATCAGGACATGCACCGAGAAGGAGAAGCAAATGGGGATGGCGGATTTTGCTCAAGATCTCAAGCTGCAAGCCAAAACGAAATGTAAATTAGTGTTCAGTAAATGCAGGAGGATATAATAAGTTTACTGCTTTATGTCATGATTGTCCCTTACCTCCTGCTGGAATTGCTTAGTTTGGTGATTCTCTATAGAGTGTAGGACTTTCACTGCTGCAGTTGTATGATAAAAGATGCATTTATAGACATTTCCGTACGCTCCCATTCCAATCTTATGATCCTCGGAGAAAGATGAGGTGGCTGTAACAATCTCATCCCACGAGAACTTCTGGTATTGTTGCACAGGACCTACAAGTGCATGTTCAAGTTTTTCGTTCTCCTTGGCATCAAGCATGGCTTTCATCTCTGCTTCCCTCCTTAGTGAAACTTCTCTTTCGACACATTCTCTCATGTAATCAGCTTCCCTCTTAGCAGATTCATACTTCTCCTTTTCTTGTGTTGCAAATACTTTGGCTTTCTCTTCCATAGAATTTATCTCCTTGAACCTTACTGCTTCCTCCAACCGGCGTTTATTTAAATTGTTTATCTGATTATCAAAAAGAAAATTTTCTTACTATCCAAATTAAAGATCTTAAGGATCATGAAGTATTTTCTGCTGTCAACAACGATAAGAATGCCTACCTTCCTAGAAGCATCCATATTCTCGCTTTGAGCCATTGCATACATTCCTTTGACATGTCTGAGTTCAATTCTCAGCTTTTCTATCTCAAGGTTGATAGTCGCCTGCGTGGAAATTGTCAATACAATCACTACTGAAAAACATACAACTCTCATACTGTTGAAATCAAAGAGAACTACCAACAATGTAATTTGTAAACCATATCTCATAAATGAAATTCCAACTTTTTATTTTCTGCATGATTCATTGTGAAGCATCATTTAACCAAGTCAAAAGAAGTCAGGAAGTGCTACCTGGCTCTCCGATGAATAATCTGTAACCACATCTGAGGTGGACACTTGATCTGAAGTCCATGACTGGTTATCTGCAACAAAGCTTCCAAGATCCTGAGATTGGCATCTAGAATGGATGGTGTCGTTTGAATTTGTCTTTGTACAAAGAAGGGTCTTGTTGATATTTGTAAGAGCTTGAAATCGCTGCATTGTCAGAAGAGGAGAACGGAAATGAGAGTATGAACCAACCGAGCTGTGATCTGTGCCTGAAAAACAGAAGACCGGAATTAAATATTCATCTGCTTGCATAGGTAGCACCATTAGCACACGACATATGAAGATGGCACTCAACCCTAATCAAGTATCCTACCTGTCTGTAAACTAGACGAGCAACTCGAAGAACTGCTGATAGAACATGTGTCACTGTTGTCATCTTTGATGCTTCCTACTGACTCAGAATCAGATGTGCGTAGGGATGATGACTTTCCTTTTGAAACAGCAGAATCAGATGCGCGTAGGGATGACAACTTTCCTTTTGAAACAGCATACACGGTGCAGAATCTTGGAGTGCAGGCTGAGATTTTTAAGGAGAGTCCCCTTTGTTTCCTAAGAGCATCAATTGTTAACATGATCACTCAGAAGGCAATTCTGACACAATTGCTCACAAAATACAAAGAATATACATGGATGGTTCTCTATGTTCCTAATTAGTAATATTAATTTGCGCTTGCGTGTGTGAGTGCAGGCAGACGTGATTTATAACGACAACCTGAAAGTTATATAACCAAATCACATATGCTCGGGGACCAAAGAAACAAGAAGAAAATTTGAATAACTAACAAATGATTAGCAAGGTCCAACAAGTGTTAATCCATTTGAACACCTGCATTTCAGCAAAATACCTTTTAAACATGCCACGAGATGGGGCACCTATGACGAGATTGCTTATGGCGAACTTAGCAACCTCTTCTGCTATTGCATTTGCAACGTCATCTGATTCAACTAGTGCAACTTCTACTTGCACCTGCATTCAAAATATAGCGGATTACGCTTTTGTCACCTCCGATTTCCTTACTATCAAACTTCACAGAATAAGAAAGTTAATTTACCTTCCTATAAGCACACATTTTCTTGTATGGAACAAGCATTTCACTCGCCTGCCACTCCATTTCCTTTCGATAGGCAGCTACTACGTCCTCTCGTACTTGCGAAATAGGAATCAGACTTCCCACTACAATCACAACAAGAACAAGAATTTCTAATCATAATAGAAAATGAAAAATGTTCAAGACATGAGATTCAATTGTTTCGCGACACATGAACTCAAAGAAGCAAAGCTTACTAGGTGTTGGAACTCCGGTGATCCTTTCCCGGACATGAATCAACTTGAAGAAAACATTTCTCTCCGGAACAAACTTATCCAGAGCCCACCTAACTATGTATTTGCTATTTCTGTCCCCACTGACAGCAATGCCAACAATTGAAAGAGAAGAAGGTTGAATATTTTCACCTCCTTCAGTAATTTCACTCCCATCCATCTCTCTGACACTCCTCTGTGGAACTGGAAATCCTCTGTAGCATGTAGAAACAAAGCACAATAGCACAACCAAATAAATCAGCATTTCCAATACAACAAATTAGCAAATTGAAATAATCCTCGAACTACCAAAAAAAAAACAAAAAATCTGAAAGAAAACGAGTGTGCGGAAATCACTTCCCGCTTCCCATATAAATATAAAATTCCATGAAGTGGCACTCAAGAGTTCAAAAGAACAACAAAAACTCAAAACCCCAGAAAAGTAATGCACAGAAAACAAAAGAAGAACATACCAGCTGCTCAAGCTTCAAAACTCATCAGACTTGAAGCACTTGTTCAACTCCTCATGAGAAAAGAACAAAAACCCATCAATATCTCTCTCTCTGCAAAAACGCGTTGACATTCAACCACCATTTGCAAAACTGGAAATTTGGAATAAGTTATAGCTGGTCAGAAGCAGATGACGTGAGAAATGCAACCCCACCAAGGTATGTTTGATTCTGGTACGACTTTTCAGTTTCTGTTTGTTTTCAACGCAATGTACAACTTGTTTTTGTATTTATAAGTGTAATAATCTATATCACTGCTTCACGGAAGCGTTTGAAAATCCACCACCTTTGGACTCTTACCTAAAAGGCTTAAGATAAGAGCAAATTCGATGCTCCGGAAACCACCATGAATTTTCTCCTATTTATCTGCTAATTAATTAGTAATTAGGCACTTTCAGAAGTCACGAGAGGATAGAGACCTTCGCATGCTAAAATACTACAACTGCAATTTCCTTATATATATATTATTATATTATATTAGCAGCTGGTACAGGGAACTTAACTAGTTATTTCTTAGAATCTGGACGAAATTTCTTAGCATGTATGTATATGTATAATTAATACCACTGAATCAGAATGCATAATCTTAATTAGAATTTAAAACCATTCAATTAATCCCAGAGTGAGTGGTTTATATAAATTATATTCATCTTGCGTAAATAATTGCCTTAGTGGTATGTTTACTCGATTAGTTTCTGAAATATGAGTATTAAAATTATTATGATCCTGATTCTCTACGCATATGAAAAAGAAAAATTGTTGGTTTTACATTAAAATTTGGACTTCAATATTTTGAATTAATTATTAATTTTCTGTGTATAAATTGTCCAAGACCATGACATGCTTTTTTCTAGTAGCATAAAAGTTTAGAGGGAGATTGGCTATTATCATCGTCAGGGCATACCTACAACCTCAAGTAGTAAGGACTTACGCGTAACACCTAATTGCCAGTTGTCACTGGTACGAATTTACGTAAGAATTTACATAGTAACGCCCATCAACAAGAATCGATGGCGGGGTTCGACCTTGGATTAAAGATTAACCACATACACATCCTTACCAACTAAACCAACTTTCGTTGGCCAAGGCCACGACATTACATATGGAAATATGATAGAAATAATCAAACACTTGCATAAGTATGATCCTTCAAAAAATCGAAGTCCAATGTATGTGGTAGCAAAGGAAACAAACATGACCAGAATAATTAGTTGGTCTATAAAAAAATCGAAGTCCAATGGGAGAAATATGAGTTTTTTTTGTTTAATTTAGTTGGTCTATCATTTTTCCTTGTTTAATAAAATATTTAGTTGGTGTCGACGACCAACAATTACCGTGGACTCATCCAAGAGTATGACATTTGAAGCTCTTGACTGAGTAGCTCAACCTTTCCCATGCATGTCGGTTCAACACCAACCTTGATATAACCATTTTCTATTGCATTTTGTTGGTAGGTTGCTAGGTTGTCTTGTTTTCTTTGAGCCACACTTTGGACTTCTCTTAAAAAAATAGAGCAAATGCTCACAAAAAGTATATGTAAACTTCTCGTCAAACATGATCAGAAACGATTATTATTCGAAAGCGATTTTGTCTGTCACTACTCTAAATTTGTTGCACCATCAAGTTCACGTGGACCTTGGTCGAGTATTCAGAGAAATATAGGCAAATAATATTATAAATGTCTACCAAATGTAACGCTCTAGAGAGCATAGCCATTGTATATCTCAGCTACAAATCTTTTGTAGCAACGATATCTGAGAGCTGATCATAGCGAACTGGCTAATCAATGACCGTTGAGGCGCCCGCCTGCTCCCCGGAAAGCAACTCCGTCAGCCTGATTAGCTAGTTCGCTGCTTGTTTGTGGCTGCACTGGGGACTGCTTGTTCTTGTACTCCCGTTGAGTCGAAAGCTTCTTCTTTGGAATGCAACTCTGGCCTGTGGATTCCGCTCTAATAATTTGCGAGGACAAAGTTAGGATTCACTTTTGCTTTAGATTTCCCCTTTCCAATATTGCTTGTATAAAATACACACTAATCAAAGTTCGGAAACGAAATTGTTGGATTGATTTTCTTGAAATTTATATTTGGGTACCAAACTAGAAAATGGAAAATACAAAAAAGGTATGAATATGGTACATCATGGGCAAAGTTGTATCAAATTTCAGGACCGGAGGCAAACAAGCTAACAAGGCCTCGAAATACTTGCGCCGATAATTGGTGTGCTTGAAAGAGTTCCCCGTCCAAATTCCATACACTCTCGTTGCCGGAAGACGTGAACGTAAAAGCAGTGGTCTGCACCAAACATATGAACAAAAAATATTACAGTTGAGATTAATTTGACAACACAAGCGATGAAAACGCAATGAATAAACATATATACCTTGTGATGTTCAACAAACTTGAAATCGAAGGGGTTTCCGCCCTTCTTTGCAAGCTGGGTAAGATGCCTGCAAATTAATCATACATAAGAAACTTTTAGTGTGATCTTCGTGGATAAAGAAGCGAAAAAGTATCGACATATGTGCGATAATTGATGCCAAGAAACGGTAAAATCTTCAGAATTTTGCATAAAAACCTCTGTAACAGATAATTCTTAAGGTGGTGAGAGGAATTATAGACAGATGATTAAGAACTTGGAATCGAAACCTCCATAGAAGAACACTTCAGAAGACTAAACAAATAGACGACTCTAGACTGCCATGTTACTAATGGGAGCCTTTCAAATGTATCATAAAAATCATTTGGCCGTCAAAAGATTGGTGCAGCTTAGAATGTTCCCATCCCAACAATTTGAAACCCGAAATAATTTTCTAGCTTAAATCTGGGAACCGATATCAGCTATTATCCAATTCTCAAGGGGAGAAGGAAGGAATGTGCATATAGATGGGGGCTATAAACTATTACCATAGATAGAGAGCATGAGAGCAGTCTTTGATCAATATGAGATGCATGAAACCGTCTGAAAGGTGTGCATCGGCCACCAAACCGTCAGGTGCTCTTTCATTTCTATTGGAAATTACTGCAGCACCAATGCTAAGAAACTTTCCCTTTGATATGGACCATTTTGTTTCTCCTGGATATGAGCAAGAGGTGGTGCTGCTACAGACCTTGCAGTTAACACGGCACATTGCTTGATCGGATTTATTTGGGCTCCAAAATGGTCGCTTGCGACCGCTCAAACTTCCTCTTTCAGGAATTGACTTTCCTTCTGGTTTGACTTCTATATATGCTACTTCCGCCTCATAGGACCTGAATGATCCGACATATATAAGATAGATGGTTCAATGTTGTTAATTAAAATAAAAGATAATTTCTTGTTAGTCACAATCATAGAAAGCTAATGAAGAGAATCTACACGGTGAAAGTATATTGGGAAACAAATACACAGAGACCATATGAATGATTTAAGACCCAACATTCGTGATTTTGGGACTCGCATAGCAAAATATGAAATTCAACTAGTAAATTACCGGTGCTTTAAAAACACCCTTGTTCCTGCATAATCATATCTTTTCGGACCCATCCAACGGTATTTTTCACTCTCAGTAATGACATCTCCATAAAATCCGTACCTACAAAATATAGAACATCTGGAATTTTAGAGAACTTAAAATGAGAATCAAATATCTGATTTTCCAGACCAAAGCATCACCCATATCATTGAGTAATTGTAATGAGAAACTACCCGGCAAAAGACGCTGCATAGCGCACAAAAGGTTCAACCTTTGATGTAGATGTTGTTTTCCACCTTACAACTTGGGCTACATCAAGGGAAACCCTTTTCCCAAGGACAATGTGAAATGTAGATGTTATAGGATCTCGAGCACCAGTTGTGCTGACAAAATGAAAAGAAAAAAAAGTCAACACCTTACATTGGGCCAAGGGGAACAATACCAGATGAAATAAAGGTAGAATGATACTGAGATATGTTATTATGTCCAATAGACGCATTGAATATTAACGGTTTTTTGTGAAATGTGCTTAGTGAATTCATATATGATAAACGATAAGAGTTATACTTAAATACACCCCATGACAACAAACAGGAAGAGACCTAAAGAAGTTTCAACTTTTGATTAGGCACTTCAAGTTCAACCCTTCTGATGCAACATTGAAAAAAGTGGATTCAACAAACTCCTACAAGATCTAGGACCAAGAATCATACTGGAACAGGATCGAGAGCAGCAATCATTAACATTTCTAATATCCATCACTACTCAGCAGAGGTTCACTATCATAAACACTAATTTCAAGAAAGATTCCTTGGCATTTTGTAAGTTGGTGAACTATATTGCAATTTAAACGATCTAAATACCACATTATATATGTAAACTACAGTCAAACGGTTAATTATGTTCAATTCAAATTAAGTATCAATTTGGACAACATTGTGGGTAATGCAAGTGTAGACCCAATAAGGCAGAAAAAATTGAATGCTGGCTGAGAAGTGTAGAGAAGTACCACATCACAATGGCATCGGTAGAGCCAGCAGGAATGATTCCAAATCTGAAATGCTTATTGGGGAAGGGAAACTCTGGATCTTCATCTGCTGGGTTTTCGAAAAGAAAAAAAACAGTAATCATGTTTTAGGCATTAGAAAATACAAATACAAATACAAATACTATATACTATTATTATATCATGTTTGTACAACAGAACCAATCAGCCGATGGGGGAAGAAATATCCTCAATTCTTGTAGTGTTAGATACGTTTGAGTAGTGTTAGATACATCCAGTGATATGTACGAAAACAACCAGTTACAACTGTTAGATACATCCAGTGATATGTACGAAAACAACCAGTTACAACTAGAAATCAAATCAAAGCTGATGTGTATGGAAAATATTATTATGATACATACTGATAACTGTGGCTCCTGAACCATCATGGATTGGACTTGGGAGGAGAGGAGACTGCTCAATGTTCTGAGAAGAAGTTCCAATAACTGTTTCATTTGGATCATGAACACAGAAACTGTCATGATATGTATCAGAAGGAAGAAAACCTGAAGGAGTTGGCGGGTATGGAGCTTTATGCCTTGAAGAAAGAAATCCATTGAGGATTTCATTGAAGAAACCATCACCGCCCTAGTTCCAAATCAATTATTACCAAGTAATCAACAATTAGGAATAGAATAAGTTCAAAATCCTTAAAAGGAATACAATATAGCATCAACTAAAGAAGTATGCCAGTATAGATGTTCCTTTTACAAAGATTGAAATAAGTCTAGGGAAGTTATAACTTACAACGGCTATAACTCCATCATATGAAGCAAGCTCTTTGTTACCTATAGATGCCATCATATCATATGCGTGCCCTGACCTTTGGGTCACAATGACCTGATGTTGGAATTGAAAACAAAATTTAAGCAGGATCACTTTGTACATTCAATAGGTTTGCTTGTGGTCTTGATTCCCATTACAGAGTAACTGAACAAGCTAGAACTCTACCTTTGTTTTCACTTTAGCATGGGAGAATATAGGAGCCACCGAGTCCCAAATTTTGCAGCCGTTTCCCTTCCCACTCTTTGGATGAACAAAAACCTAGTCAATCAGAAAAAGATTCTGGAAAAATATAATACCACTTTATGTCAATTTTCATAAACCACCTAAAGGACACAAAAACCCAAACAAGCATAATGATATAGCGATTGGCAAACTACAAAACATACCAATAGATTCTTTGGTCGCCCCTGTTCTAGGGCCAGAGAAGCATTAATCTGATTGACCCACATCTGACATGTTTGGAGATTATTATGACCAAACGTATATGCAGCCAGGACCCGAAGAGAAGGCAGAGTCTTTGACTGCTGGAAACCATGCACTGTAAAGCGGTAAACCTGAACCTATGTAAACACCAACATCAATACCATATGAGGGAGTGAAACAAAATAGCCAAGAATGGGAATTGAACAAACCTCAGATTCATGACGACCCGAAAGGCATCTTCTAGCATTTGAAACCTTTGGCACATGGATCAAACCGTGGCTGATCAACTCAACGGAATACACATCGGAAAATTTGATCTCGGTTGCAACCTTTGAAGTAAATGTGATGCCCAAACAAGTTGAGTCATCCTGATATATTAGACATCAATAAAAAATTTCAAAATTTCATGATTAAACGGTATAATCAACTCATCGATTAACGATCATAAATGCTTCACCGAATAATCATACAGGATCCCGAGTAAATAAATTAACAAAGTAAAATGTTTGTCACAAAGCCCAGGCAAAAGTGATGAAAAATCAGAAATTTAGAAGAACCCAGTTGCCATTAGGCCTAATAAGCAGCAGAAATCCCAGAATCCATACTAAAATTCGAAAGTATCACAACTGTAACACAATTAAGAACAAATTTCAATCTAGAGTTGATAAAAATAGAAACTTTACTATCAAATAAATCAATTTAAAGACAAAAACAAAAGGGAAAGAAGAGGAGAGAAATTAAATACATATTCCAATGGCTCGAGCGATTTCCAAGACAACCCATCTGAGTTTAAGGAGAGAAGGACTTCCCCGACGCGGTCCAAGGTGAGGCTGCAGCTCAAAGCCGCCGCCGTGGCTCCGCCGTAAAACTGTGCGTGGGGGAGAGGGGGAGATTCATCTGGTTCAATACAGCAATCTACATCACGTTCCATTCAACGAGGTTTGAATTATATGAAGGATAATGTTGAAGGCGGCGAAAACGGAAGAACTTTCAGGTGGAATTTCAAAAAACCGGTGATCGCGTTCGTTGGGCGAAGTGGAATTTGGCGCTTTATTGACCAAAAATGGAAACAAAACGACAGGAAAACGGGTCGTTGTAGCCAGAGATCTAGGCTTCTAGCATGTTTGCTTTTCTCTAGTTATTTTCTTTTTACCCTTTGACAACGGTCATTGTTTGTTGGACCAACTTAGCGGGTTGGAAGGTTAATCTAATTTTAACCCAACTTTTACAATTTGTGATCGGATTCAGGTTGAGTTTTAATCGGGTTAATTCGGATTTGGGTTTAATCGGATTCAGGTTTATTTGGATTGGGTTTGGATTGCCTAACTTTTTCAAGTTTTAATCGGGCATTAGCATCGAATTTTAAATCATATATTTCTGAAATCACCCGCACAGGCATGTATACATCCACAAAGACATCAACCTATTTGTATTAGCAAACAACTGACCTTAAAATCACTTTCCCTCACCTTGCTCAATAGTCTGCTTCGTCTGAATTGGCACAAGAAAGCAGCATAAGAAACAATCACAACTCAAACTGTGAAGCAGATCAGAAGGCAGATTGTCTGCCCTCCTGTTTGGGTGTCCTTCCCATCCCTTTCTATTTTATGCGATCACGGTTAAGTTACGTTAATATTTTATATTGATTTTTTTTATAGAGATAATAAGACAAAAAATAATAGGAATATAACATATTGACGTGGCTTAACCGTGACCGTACAAATAGATAAAGAAGGAAAATGCATCCAAACAAGAGGGCAGATAATCTCCCTCTCTCAAGAAGAGGTTGAATAGTTGCAATATTAATTTAATAAAGGAAGTTGTTCAACATGATGAGATGTGAAAAGCAGAATAAACGTAATATGATTCCTTTTCAAGTCGAATTGTGCATCATATCAGTAAGTCGTGAAGGTCATTGAGAAGCATGTTGCACAGCTCAACCCAATTGGGTTTGGTTAATCGGGTTAGATTGGGTTGAGTTGAGCAAATGATCAATCTAATCTAACTCAATCAATGAACGAGTTGAAATTGGGTTGGATTTAGACAGGTTATAACTAAAAAGAATTCGCTTGTTCGGATTTAAAGTCGGGTTGGATATGAGCGGATTCGGGTCGGCCCAACTCAAGTTGCACCCCTATTGGTCAATGCAAAGAGAAATTTTTCATTGTGACAGGAATACGAATGGTATACTACTTGTTTTTATATAAGTGGTGAGAAATTTTATTTTTTAAATTATTAACTTTTTAACACACAGATCTCATCTTTTATATAGTGGCACGTGATGTATTATTCTATGTGCCAAGCATACTGAAAAATCTCTCCAGTGCAAGAAGCCAAATCCAACCAATAAAATATGGTAAAAAATATATTTACGATTAAATGATAAGTTTGTTGGTCTGTGCATTGTGCTTTTCTTTGTATTCCAGGTCAAATTTTTCTTCTCATATATTAGATTGGTCCAAAATACTGTAAAACAAATTTGCAAATTAAATTGTTGAGCTTTTTCTTTTTCTCAAAAGTAAAACTTTTTTATTCAGAAAACATAACATGATAAAACATCAAACAAAAAAGGATCTATGCACTACCTATATTACAATCAAGTGGAGTATATTAAATTGCGAGTTAAGTTATAGGAGTTTAAAAGGTTTTTTTAGTCAAAATGGTCTATAAGATTGACTCATTGTTTATTAAATTGAAAGTATTACTATCATTTTAGTCTTTATTTAACAAAAAAATTTCACGGAATAACCGACGATTGATCGTGATTTGTGGACAAGCTCAAAACCACTCCTATTGATTTCAAATATTAAGGACCAAAGTGAGGAATTATGTCAATCTCATAAACCAATTTAGCTAAAATGCCAGAGTTTATTACATCTCCGGGCTTCTCACTGAGTACTGAAATGTCCATCCGTGGCAAACTCTAGCATGCGCGCCCATCTCATCGATGGCAAAAACAGCTCCAACAAAACCAGGGAATTTTCTCCTGATTCGTGATATCGCATCCTTGGCAGCGAGTTTAGGTTCCATCCCTAATCTCATACTCTCCACAACTTGATAACTGTAATTCAATCATTTAAAGTGAACTGTTAAGAGTCATTAAATACAAGTGAACGGATTAAGTAGAGGAGCGAACTGGGAACTAAGGGCTCATTTAGATGTGTTTTTAAAATACACAGGGCAAGACAGAAACAAAGCCTGCTCGACACACGCACAATGCGTTCTTTATATCAGGTGAATGAACCTACATAGAAACTACGTACCGAGAGAAGTTTTCACATCAAAACATACTGCCGCTGCAAAATGATGGATCGGATTGGTTTGTTACGTTTAAAACACAAGCCACCAGGCCGGAAACCAGTTTATAATGCTTGACAAGCTTCCAACAGGCATGGTTTGATTAATAACAGTGTTTGCTTTTGCTTTACATTTAAGACAAACTATATATAATTCTTGATTAAGGCTTTAAGAAGGCAAGTCAATAGCAATAATTCATAATTCCATCGTCACCCTGTTGGTATTGTCGGAGCAAAACCTAATTTCAAGTACGAAGATTTGTAGTTGCTGACTGACATTGACATCCTTCAGCAATATATGCTGCAAAAGAAGAACCTAAGTAAGACCAGGACCAAAGGTGACCAATATTGTTCAAGAGGTGTTTTTTGCATTACCGTGGAAGGAAACGCATCATGACATCGCCATCTCCGGTTGCACCACAAGCCCCGACGTCGTCATCTGCATATTCAGAAGATCCTGCAAGCACTGCAAGCAGTCAACAAACTGTGCTTTCACTCATGCACTCGGAGTTCTGTGTTAGACTCTCCTTGGGGCCAACCCTAGTAATCGCTTGTAGCAAAATCTTGATCACATCCAACGGTGATCCATGATATTGCAATTTTGCAAATCATACAAGAGGACATATACGTAATTTTAACATCAATTTTGAACAAGCAAAGAAAGGGCGGGGGTGGGTGCTTGCCACTAACCGTCATAACCGTCTTTACGTGGTAGTGGGATAAAATTTTCCCTGTTTTTCATACACAATTTAGATGACCAATTAGAAGCGTGAACACCGTAATCAGGCCCTTCAAATTTCATCATCTTTGATCCTTAATGGTCCCACAATCTAAGTACTTTGATTCAACGGCTAGCTTTAATTCACCAGTTACGTTTCATAAGATGCGCCATGTGCATGCAAACCCTAGCATGCTCGAGAATTTTTTTAAAAAAAAAAACTCAGAACTCAAAAGTTCATATTCCATAATCTCATTTTTTTTCCAAGAAACCCGATTAATATCCGGAAGAAAATTTTGTTTCCCATCAGAGTGAAGAGAATTGAGAGATTAATTTTGTTGAAAAATGGCGAGGCAAAAGCAAAACGATGGAGCATACATCAGGAAAGGTCCATGGACTGCTGAGGAAGATGAGGTGCTCATAAGTCATGTGAAGAGAAATGGTCCTAGAGACTGGAGCTCCATTCGATCCAAAGGACTCTTGCCGCGAACTGGAAAATCATGCCGGCTCAGATGGGTTAATAAGCTCCGACCGAACTTGAAGACGTAAGTAAGCCCTACGAATCCTTCGAATATTATATAGATCTCAAACACTAATTAGTTTTTGCAAGTTCAGTTGATGAGTGTTCATTAATTTGTTATGTTCACGTTTTTGTTGATTATTGGTGGGTTTTTGGCAATTTAGTAGTTGTAATCTGTATTTTCTTGCTTAAGATTGACGCTAACAAAAAATGTGAACTTGAACTTTTACAACAAAGTGGATGCAAGTTTTCTGCAGAGGAGGAGAGGATGGTGATACAACTGCAAGCGCAATTCGGGAACAAGTGGGCGAAAATCGCGACGTATCTGCAAGGCAGAACGGACAATGATGTGAAGAATTTCTGGAGCACTCGGCGAAAGAGGTTTGAGAGGATTCTGCAGAAATCGACATTCTCAAACTCCCCCAGAAACAAAGGGAAGAGCCTTGTGCATCATGAATTTCCAGTGGATAAGGTAAGGTAGCATTTTTCTCAAATTTCCAAGACAACCTTTTCAAATTAACAATTGTGAATTCTCAGGTTTCTTCTCATCCAAGCAATTCCTTTTTGAATTCTGAAGAGTTGGGAATCGTGGATCTACCGGATTTGGTGAAAGCAAACCAACTGCTGAAAGTGGAAGCAGAGCAGCAGCCCATGCTTGAGGCCACGCCAATTAATATGATCCCGTCTTCTGATTTCCCACCACACTTATCTTTGTCTCAGCTTCCTCAACCCCAACTAGACCTCTCGTTTTTATCAGGATGCAAAGAAATTCACCAGGACCCTATCGTTCTGAACTTGCTGGACATGTTCGGGGAGGAGATCCCACCTCTTGGACTGGAGGAGAATGCTCAAGGTAACAAGTTAGGAGAGCTTAAAGACCTTTCGACTCCTGACATTTTCTTCGATGAATTCCCACCTGAGATGCTTGATTATCTTGAAACTCTTACAAGCTCGTCAGAGTTATGAATTCCTGGGAGTCTTGTGCAACGGTTATTTCGTATGAATTCTTGGACACGATTGATGTTTGATACACACTAGAAATGAAGATTGGAACTTGTTTAATAAATATTCTGTTTAATTGTTAAACATGACGAAAATCGCTTCTTTATACAATGTGCTAGTCCAATATACTGCAACCTGAGTCCATAAACTCAGTGTTCACTGATCTTATTAAGAAATTTACATAATCAATGGTGATGAAATACATTTTCCTAATAGTAACTCTACCCGAAGTAAGAAAACAATGCCAAAACCAATCACAACATCCAATTCAGTATTAAATCCAAGCTTTTTCACAGCTGCACCAAACAATTCATGGTCTACCATGCTCCAACTCGAAATATTGAACCTTCGTAGGACTGGCAAAGGTCATAAATTCTTCTACTTTGTAATTATCGTCTCAGCCAGATCTGGTTTCAGTCTCAAAGCGTTAGTCAGTAGGACTGCCTAAGGAATTTGTGTCATCTCCAGATTGTTTCATTAGCATCTGTGAAAATTGCATTGTGATGTTCCATGAGACACTGGACAACCTCAATGGCGCCGAAGTCCATGGGTATGCCATCATCCAAGGGGATGGAATCATCTACAGCATCACCTTCATCTGAATCCACAACAAAAAAAAATTACATGCAAAAGAAATGAATATGTTCTTTCAAAAAACCAACAATATAACACCTGTTTAGTTCGTATAATTTCTCTAAAATAGAAATAGGTTGCTAATGAAGAACCGCTCACCAGAAAGCATGTCCCAAGCAGTATAAGTAGGCTCAGGATCCAAGTTCTTCCTGGAAGGACCTTTTGAAGGTTGATTCCAATATTTCCTGTATAGGTCCTGTGTCATACCCTTCTGCCAAATTATAACAGGGGCAATCTCCATCGCGAGACTTTGGGTGCTCATCTGTGTACAGTAAACAACTATTTAAGCAAGCTTATCAACGATTCAGGCTATGAACAACCCGCCATGCATACAACAGAGAGAGAGAGAGATGCTTCCTGCCTTGTTAAGAACTGACTTCTGGTTAACACGGAACAGTAATGCAGTGACAAATTCTAGGGTTGTGTAGTTGACTGTAGGAAGCCTCCTGAGCATGGTTCTCATCGCATGTATGCTGGATCGAGCACCCTTGATCTCATTATAAAGCTCAAATGTGGTTAGTGGCTCAGGAAGGGTAGCTAGGTAACATTTGACTAGAGCCGCTACATCAATTGGGTTTACACCCTCTGGTAATGGTGCATTTGAATCTGATATTACAACACTAGATTAGTGTCATCTAAATAGAACTAAGAAAATTATGTTTCAAATAAATAAATAAAAAGAAATTATACACACTTCATATACCTTGGTTGTACAGTGAAACCAGTTGGTGAATGACTTTTCTATCTCCCTCGCCTTTAAATAGATATGGTGTATTTAGTCCTAGGAGTCAAAAACATCACGAACAAGTTAATCATGCTTGCAAAGGAAATCAAAGTAATATATGTGTAAGTGATCATACATGCACCAGAAGTGTATAAATTAGAGAAGAACAGACTATAGAGTACCTGATAATATGAGATAATCTGCACATCTGACCAAAATTTGAGGAATGGGCCTACTAGATTGTTGCCGTTGCACAACAACTTCAATCGGAACTCCAAAAACTGAAAATAAAATTTTTAATAACTATCACCATTTAGCCCAAGATTAAAAGCAACTACCATCCTGATACAGTTTATCTTGACACACAAACCACCAAATTGGGGAGATGCAGAGGATCCAGAATTTCACCATTCTTCAAACAATGCTAACTATAAAAAACCTGAGTCATTTTCTATAAATTCTCAGCTACAAATTTCACCTTACAGCTATAAGTACAAATACATTTTAGGGGGAACCCCGTGTAACAGAAGGTCATGTGTAATATTATTAGGAGTCAAAGAAACAAAGCTTCCAAAGTTTCCTCAATCCCAACTTCGTCCACCAGCACTAACTGCTACCCACTATCTCATCTCCTACAATTAATATGTATATTCCTTGCTTGTTGATTCCAGAGAAAAACTAGACATGGGTCATTGGAGAAGAAGTAACCGAACAGCCAAACAAGCCACAGATCCTCAACAATCCCCACTATAACCCTCGAAATCAAATGTAGTACAGTATCTCAGTTTCAAATTCCACCCAATTTAACACTGTAAATCTCACAGATAAAAAGCTGTTATCCAAATATTACAATTAGGGGTGTGCTATCCACACACCCCTTTTTACTTCTCACACACCCCTTGTTAATTTCTGTGCTTTGATCTTCGATCTTCTTTAATTTAGTCGATCCGACAGCCGCAAATTAAGAGAGTGTGTATGAAGTAAAAAGGGGTGTGTGGATAGCACACCCCTACAATTAATGATGCTAGGCAAAAAAGTATATGGAGGGTGTAGAAAATTCAAGAAACTTACCGTCGGTGCTTGCAACACCCTGAAAATGAAAAGAACAAGATTAGACTTTCAAAGTGTGTATAACAAAGAAGAAAAAGAAAAGTAACAATTGTTTCAAAATTCTATACCTTCTGCCATCTTTCGATATCACTCAAAATGGTTTTGCTCTTTTGGGCAGTCTTCTTTGCCACCTGAAACAAAAATCACCATTTCAAATGTGTCAGTGATGAGTTCAACTAAAAAACATGCTCTAGGCGCACACTTAGATTGTCAAGCTCTGGAGCATTACCAGAAGTCTTTACGATCAATTGCATTCACCGTTGGGGTTAAAGAAACAGAAAAATAGTACCATACGTTCAGTGACGTCAGTCTAAGTTCAAGTTGGATATGAATCATTATCGCCTAACAAAGTTCTAGCCAGTTTACCTCTTCAACTTTTATCTTCCCAACAGAAACCTTTTCCTTTGTCTCTGATAAGCCCTTCCTAAACAACGTACCAGTTGTCGCAGCAGCAGTTATAAGGCGTTCCTGCACAGCATGTCTTGTAGCTGGTTGCTGAAGAATCGCCCATCGACTTTTGAACATGGACCCAACTCGTTCTGCCACATCAGCAACATTCACTTTTGCATCTTTAGTGACCTCTCCAACAAATGTTCCAGCTTCTTTCATCTTCACCCCTGCATTAAAACATAGTTGGCTATAGTCAAACACCAATCTTTTTCTTAGAAAATGATTAAACAATAAAAAACGGTGTAATCGGAAAGTACCTGAGGATGAAAAGAAATCGGTAGCTGCCTCTTGTGTGATGGGGGGTGAGAACGGGAAAGCCATTGTAGCAGTTGCAGAGACCAGAATCAAATTATAAAGGCAATGACCAGTTCAGCCTGCTTTGAAGGGAACAGATAAAAAATATGTCAAAGAAGATCGAAGGACACTACTTTTCAGAGGTTCTACAAATTCAAGAAAAAAAATTACAACAAATCACAACGGTTTCCCGCTTTCGCTAAGAAAAACTAAGGTATATATAAGAAGGAAACCAGCTTCGATTTCACAGGCAGTAAGTCTCTTGAATCCATTTGTTAACACGAACTCGAAAACCAAGTTAAACAATAAATCATCAAAGTTTCCCTTTACTCCAATAAATCAACGTAAACAATAATCTTTCTAAGTCAACTGTTTGGTTGGTGAGAAAATGAAAGAAAGTCAAATCCCCTCCCCCCATCAATCCCAAATACAAAATTTCTCAACTTAAAATTAAAAAAATTATGATCTCAACTCGGCCAATCAGCCCGGATCAATTCTCTTTCACTGTAATCCGTCTAAAGATTAATCCTTTTTCATCAAATTTTATCCAATTATCAAAACCCAGTTCCTACTAATTACATATAAAAATTGGCCAAATCAACATCAATCAACCTGATTAAAATTTTAATTACAAATTGAAAAGAAAAATAGTACTAATACAGCAGTAGTTGAATAAAATTTTAATTTACTTTTCCACCAATTAAAACAAACAAAAACGCCAGTTTTAATCAGTGAAATTCGAGAGAAGATTACCTCGTTGGGGCTTGCTGATCAAGGAAGCTGGAAGCGAAGCAGCTGAAAGGCGAAAATTGCACAATTGCAAATAGAAAAATCCCTTCTTTTTAGAGAGAGGAGAGAGAAAGTCGTCCTCTCTAGAAAATTCAAAAAAAGGCGCTTGTCTGCGATTGGTTGGGCATTCAGCGGGGTAGGCGGACGAATAGTATGACGCCACGTAGGCTCTAACTGGCGAACAAGTCGGACTAGGACCCGCGGGTGATCCTGGAGGTTTTTTAACTGATATAACCGTCGCGTGCGCAGACTGAGATTAACACTTTTGTTTGGTTTAAAGTTTAAAGTTAAGACTGAGATTAACGTATTATTTTGTTGAAAGTAGACTGAGATTAACATTCCCCCTGTCCCCACCTTAATCCTTGAATGTTCAACTTTTTAATCAAACTGCCTGTGTCAAGGGCCCCACTCCGTAAAATCAGGGGTAAGGATTGAGGGAATCAATCAAACGGTTGGCAATAAATAAGAAAGCTGGAAAAGTCAACCTGCTCATATCAGGTAATGTTTGGACCTACTTATTTCAACTCGTTTCTAAGACAAATTTAGTCCAGAATTTCCTTGGATCAGTGGAGCTAACTTATTATATATGTGTGTTTTTTTTAGTTTTATATTTATAAATTCATTGAATTTAAAGGCTAAAACCGAACATGATCAAATCCAACGATAAAAAAATAACAAATTTAACGTTCCAAATTTAAATCTAACTGCTAAAATAAATAAAAAAAATATTTTATATGTTTCATATTCTTTCATAGTGTTCCATGAGTTTCATGGTGTTGATTTAGAGATTTTTTAATATTTATCGGAATCTAAATTTTTTTAGGTTAAAATGTTCATAAAATTAAATTATGATAGTCTACATAATTTTTTTTTTTAAGTTACTTTAAGAAAAAAAAATCCGAAATTCATTCTTTAACACTTTCGAGCAAAAAATTTAACCCAAAAGCATTGAAAGAGAAAAATTGTTTATGGTTAAACCCGAAATTTTCTAGGTTAAAAATTTTAGGTTTTAACCCAAAGGTTGGAGATGATCAAGTAAAGGAATAGGATCCTCTCAAGATCCTACCGAAAATTGAACAGTCAAAAATTAATTTTTGTTTACGTTTACTTTTTCTATCCATCTTCTTTTATCTTCACCTTTTGTTGTTAATCTTCTTCCATCTTCTTCTCAGTTAATCTTCTCATGTTCATCTTCTTCTCTCTTCATGGTCATTTAATGGAATAATGTTTTGTTGTTATTGTTGTTGTATTTTTTTTTTTTAACAAACGATATTATTTATACTAACAAGGTGAGAGAGTTGGCTCAACCTCACAATAGGTTAGCAATGATGTGATTTAAATTTGTCCTTAACGGAAATCGAACATAAGACCTATCGCTTACAAATAATATTGTTGTTGTATTTAAACCTTGAATTTTTAACATTTTTTAATATTTAGTATTGAATGATATGAAACTAAATGGTTAATATTAAAAAAAAAAGAATATTTGTAACATAACATTGAATAATAAAAACAATGAAGACATACTCGTAAATCACTGTTTATTTATGTTAATTTAATTTAATTTATTTTTCAAAATTACTAGAAATTAGTAGAACAATGAAAAATTATCGTGTGCTACAGTTATAAAGTGGTATAATCAATTCATTGATCTTCGTTATAAGTACATCAAGGAGCTTCCATCTTGGTGTCCTTGCTAGAGTCCCCCACAATCCTCCTCCAAAACCAGTGCTCCTGCCACACTATCTCCATCTTCTCGATCGGCACATTCTTTGTCTCCGGCAAAAACAAGTACACAAACACCGTCATCACCGCCACCCAACCCCCGAAAAAGAAGAAAATCCCAGCCTTGAAGTGGCACAGCATTGCTAGAAAAGTTTGAGCAACAATGAAAGTGAACAAAAAGTTCACCACCACATTTATACTTTGTCCCGCTGATCGAATTTCCAACGGGAAAATCTCACTCGGAACCAACCATCCGAGCGGCCCCCATGACCACCCGAATCCCGCTACATAAATGCATATCAAAACCAGCACCAAATAGGCATAGCCTTTGCTCACTCCGCCGCGATCACCAAGCTGAGCTGCCATTACACCTCCCACCATAATTTGTGACACCAACATTTGAATCCCACCAGCTAAAAACAACGCTCTTCGCCCAAATTTGTCTACGATAAGCATAGATACGAATGTTGAGCTTGTACCAACCACTCCAGTCGTCATGGCAACGGACAAGAGCGAAGCGCTTTCTCCCAACCCAATTGTTCGAAAAAGTATGGCGGAGTAAAAGGATATGACGTTGATCCCTGTCAACTGCTGAAAAAATGGTATGGCTATTGCCATCACAAGCTGAGGCCTATACTTTCTCTCCAGGATTTTCTTGAAAGGGTGTTTGATGTTTTTCGATATGCTGTTTGCCTTGATCAGATCATCGAGTTCTGCTTGGACATCATCGACACCTCTGATACGTTGTAGCATTTGCTTGGCTGTTTGGTGATCCGTGCTACGCTGGATTAGGCTGTTAGGTGTTTCGGGAAGGAAAAATGCGCCCAGTGTTAGCATTGAAGCAGGGACTGCAGCCATGGCTAGGGAGATTCGCCACCCCCAACCACCTTTGATCTTCTCAGAGCCGTAGTTGATGAGGTTAGCTGATAATACGCCAATGCCGACGCTAAATTGGAAGCCATTGTTAATTGCTCCTCTGTATTTTGGTGGTGCCATTTCCGAAAGGTACAATGGAACAGCCTGCACAACACAAACACAGATTACACAAGTAACACGAAAAATAGAAACATCAAATAGGGTATGTTTATATGATTAATGTTGGGGGCAAAAAGTACTACCTGATTTCCAAAACCAATACCAACTCCAAGCAATAAGCGGCCGAGGATGAGCATGTAGATGTTCATAGCTGCGCCGTTTAGAGCTGAGCCGGCAAGGAATGCAGCTCCACCGGCAAGGATTGAAGGCTTGCGGCCGTAAGCCCTTGTGACCAAACTGGCAAAAAGGGAAGCTACAAGACCAGCTATGTAGAGTGAGGATGTGAAGGAGGTCAACAGTTCACTGTCGAATTTACAGTAGTTGCTGATTTTGGTGTCCGATTTCATCTTAGTGTTTACTTCAGGAAAGAATTTTTTAAGAAACTGCTCCATTGAAGTCACGCCGCCTGAAATTCCAATGTCGTAGCCGAAAATTACACCTCCTATGGCTGCCATCATGCAAGAGAGGATGACGAACGGCGTCATCCTGCCATTGTATTGCCCGGCTTCGCCTGCTATCGCTAACCCAACTGCCATTGTTTCTTCCAAGCTCACACACAGAGATATGAAGACAGAACTCAAAGTTGTAAATTTTACTAAGAGAATGGAAATATAGAGAGCAGTCTTACTCCGTTTTCCTACGGTATTTTAAACCACTATAATCTACGGAGCACAAATTCTTGGCCTAACCACGTCTGCAAGAGCAGCCTTACTTGACTAGTATAGTCAACAAATGGTTTTGGACTTCTGCGGAATATGTAGGCAGTGGCTGCAATCACTACCGCTACCAGACAACTTCAGGCAGGACCATAAGCATTTGTCTGAACTGTGAAGAAAGCTAAGCGCCTGTTTGGCCACTCTTCAGCTGCCATTGCCTGGTTTAACAAACCCTTTTGTACTTAATCACTCTTTTTTGCTGCTTTAATATCTGCTTTGCCATTAATCCCAAGCACTTAAACTTGTCAACCGCTGCCAACCGTTGGTACCCTGCCGGGGCTACTGGGTATGGTAGTCTGGATGTCGCCGGAAATGACGGTATAATGCATGATTAATGTGTACATGTTTTGTAATTTTTGGTTTATAGATAATACAGTATTGTTACTTAATTATTAGTATTAATAGCATATGCTAAACTAATTAATTATTCTCATATTTACAAAGTGATTTCAAAACTACTTTCATTTACGGTAAGAGAGACTCGGAACTAATACCAAGAATAAAAATAAACAGAGAATGTGCAGAAGGAGAAAAAAAATGTGTGCGAGTCGGGCACCTTGGCATGCTTCCCACATCACTCGACTTCCTAGCATGAACTCCACATACTAGAATTTGAGGGCTCGCTTGAGAAAACCATGTGTATACTCAAATGATGAGAGAGACATACGTTATGTGATACATACCCAGCTGTTTGACAGAAACAGTTTTGCCTTTCAGCAGAAATGCGAAAAATACAATTGCCTTTTTTTGCTTGCTTAACGAGTCTGTCTGTCACTAAAGTTGGAGATAACATCATTGCATTTTGCAAACCAACTCATATTAATCTGTTCACGAAGAACAGCAGTTGAGGCAGAAATTTTAGGGTATGAGCACAACCGAGCCAGATGTTTTCCTGTTCTCGAGGTCTGCATGAGCTTGTGCTGCGTGAGACAATGCGTATTTGTGATTTACTCGAACGCGCAATACGCCTGATGCAACATTAGCAAAGACCTCTGCCGCAACCTTTAACAATTTGTCTCGAGCTGCAGTGTACTGGAACAGGGCCGGCCTGGTCAGGAAGAGTGATTTTGCTGCAAGAGCTGATAGTGGGACCGGATCAATTGCACCTGATGCTTGTCCGAAACTCACCATGTATCCACGAGTCTTCAAGCATGCCAATGATCCCTGCAAACAATGCCCCAATGAAGTACCAAATATAAAATTCACCATCAAGTAATTAGACCAGCTAATCTTCTGAACTGAAAAAAATCAAAGGGTAACTAGCATTTGCTTTTAACAGTTTCATAAAACTAGCTCGAACGGAACAGTATAGAGATTTGGTATACCTGGCCTAGCATTGAGAAACTTCAACACTAGATTAGGTAATAAGTCACGGTAAAGCAGAAGCAGTAACAGGCTGTGTTGATACTCAATGAAACCAAGAACATCAAAGGAACGGTGCAGAAGGAGAACCTAGAATCATTTCTGTAAGTTCTGTATAAAATTGAGGGATGAAAAGTAAGATTTACCTGAAAGGTATCCTTCCCTACAGAATCATAGACAACATCAACGCCATTGTCAGATGTTATTACTGTCACTCGAGCAACAAAATCCTCTTCCGTGTACACTATGACATGGCGACATCCATCATCCTTGGCCTGAGCTGTCTTCTCTTTAGTTGATACAGTTCCAATGACAATTGCACCAAGCGCATTAGCCCACTGGCATAAAAGGGATCCAACTCCACCAGCTGCTGCGTGAACAAGGACTGTGTGTCCTGGTTCGACCTCCATAGCAGCACAAAATTCAGATCAAACAACAAAAGCAGCAGCATTGAAATTTATAAACAACTTCTAACACTGAATCAACCAAGAATGAAATTTCACATTCAGGAAGCATTTAGTTACAACTTGACCACCAATATTTGTCAGTTGATTGTACTTTTTCGACACATAAATCACATAGTTAACAAAACAGAAAATCGTAACAACCTTGAAAGACTGGCGTAGTAGAACCTGAGCTGTCATACCCTTAAGCAATATGGATGCTGCAACAATAGGATCAATTGAAGGAGGAACGGGCACCACTTTGTTTTCAGGAAGAATCTGCTCTTCCGCATATGACCCCATCGGAGTGCCAACATAGGCCACCAGATCTCCAACTCGCCTGCCTGTTACTCCAGGTCCTAAGGCTGTCACAACTCCACAAGATTCCATACCTGAAATGAAAATTGAGTTGTTAACGAATAGGGTTTATCCGTCAGCCTTCTGATCAGGAACTGGAAGGACAAAAAAAGACTGGACTCCAAGTTGTTGAAGAATAGTGACGTTGAGTTTCTCGACCATTTCTCTTAGGATTAGTCAGTTCTATTTCAAACAGTAGGAATGGCTAATCTGGTTTCATGCCTGGCATTCTTTTAGGTTTGAAAAATCATTCTTGATCATATCTGAAAACTGTAATCTCACGCAAAATGTTTACGCAAGAAACTGTTAAGAAAAAACTAAACTTAGAAATTATGCCTTCAAAGAGTGGACTAGATGTCAATCCTTCCTACATTTCAGAACTTGGAAATGAAGCAAAACCTGGGGAGAAGGGCATTGTATCAGCCTTATAATAAAGTCCTTTGCGGAAGTATACATCGATGAAATTAACCCCTATCGCCTTGTTCTTCACACAAACCTCCCCCTCCTTCGGCTCTCCTATTTCCACATCTTCCCATTTCAAGACCTAGCAGCATTACATCACAAAATTAAGTGAAATTGGGATAAAAGCATTGGAAATTTGGAATAATGACATGTAGCTGAACCAGATTGCAGATCAAAGAAAAATACAATAAAAGTTTACGAAATCAAATACTATAAAAGTTTACACTTGATACACTTGATATGAATACACTTGATATAGCTCTAGATAAACCATAAATACAATAAAAGTTTAAGAACTCAAATACTTCAAGGCCTCGCTGGATGTCTATGATTGAACTGGATTGAAAAATCGCTTAGATTCATTAAATGTATGTCAATGAAAGAAATTGGGAAGGCAGGAGAAAGATTAGTCACGAAGAACATTCCAATTGCCAAAGAAATGGTAGGATTGGAAGGGATAAGCTTACTTGATGACTAATCCTAATTCTACTTTCAACTTTGACAAAATTTAGAAGTTGACTTCCATTTCTTCCTTCGGCATTGAACTAACCTAGTGAGTTATCGAATCCAATCAAATCCTCGACGACAAACGAGAACTAACCTTCTCCGGATTAGTCCGATGAATACAATGGCATAAGAAATCAAGTACTCTTGGCTAAAAGCAGAAAGGCTATCTCTTTCAGCCTGTTACCAGATTTCCCATCAAACAACTTGGATTTATTGTAAACAGAAATAGTTTACAAATGAAAGCAGGCACATCAGATTGCAACTGACGAACAAGTCTTGATTTTGTGATCACCAATTCAAACATTCAAGTTACCCAAAAAAATACAGGAGAGAGAGAGAGAGAGACCTGAGGACCACCAAGTTCATGAACTCGAATGGCTTTCACCATCCTTGTTGGCAATACTGCTTGATTTCTGGGTATTTTCCGGTCAAAAGTGTGATTTCTAGGTAATTATCCCTTAATAATTGGCCTAAGTCTTGTCAATATAAAAGGTAAAGTGAATAGTATCATATTTAACTTTTTAATGTAAAAATGTATTTTTTCGTTAAATAAACAATACAGTGGGCTTTTCATTAAAACTACCTATTTTTTTAGTCTATGTCTCGTACACGGGATTTGGATCCTCGCCGGATCCCCTCCCGGGGATCCTAAGGATCAAGGAATACGGACCGTTGATCAAAAATCGTGCAATTACAATTTTTTCATTTTTATATTTTTCACGAAAAACGAGACTTTTTTACTTTTAAAAATATATAAAGTATTTAATTGGGGCCACACGATTTTTTATCAATGGTCCGTGTGCGTTGATCCCTAAGATCTCCAAGAAGGGGATCCGTCAAGGATTCAAATCCTCGTACACGTACCTGAAATCATAAATTGTAATGATTTTAATACTCATTTCATGTTAAATAAACTAGTAATTATAAGCACATTAAAACTATAAATTTTGATTACAAACAACACAAATTGAATATCTAATGTTGGTTTTTTTTCCTTAACAAAGGATATTAATATTAAGGAGAGAGGGTGAGTTTATCCTCTGGGATAGGAATAATGTGATTTAAATTCGCTTTTGGTGAGAATCAAACTTAAAACCTCTCACTTACAAGTAAAGATGAAATCATTAGACCGTAATATTAAGTGGCATTATCTAATGTTGTTAGATATGGATATTCTTTTGTTCAAAAAAAGATATGGATATTCTTTATTTATTTATTATTACATTGAGCAACAAATGTATATTTAATATAATATTTAAGCCCAAAACTGAAAAAATAAGTGAAAATTATAGTAATGAGGTCCAAAACATTATCAAATGGATTCTACCTTCAAGAATCTCAATGAAAAGTCTCACCTTACTTTTCAAAACTTCACGATGAGGTATAGGTGAAAATAAATTGAACGATGATTTAACTAGGTCTGGGCAAGGATCGGTTGCGTGGTACCGATTTTTCCTTTTCCAATTTATTTATTTGTTTTTTGTTTTTTTGTTTTTTCCTTTGAGTTTCTTATTTATATGTTGAGTAACCACTATTAGATTTAAATATCTTTAAATTTATGTTTTAAATTGTTGATTATAAGTGTTTAAAAATGAATTATAATAGATTTTACATGGAAAAATATATTTGAAGAACATAAATATAATAATTTGTTGTTATGTTAAAAGAAATAAAAGAAACATTAGCAAAAAATATAAATAAATAAAAACTGAAAAGGGAGATCGGTATGATTTTAGCGATTCTTTCTTGAAGAAGTCGCTATTTGGACACCAACAGGGTTTGTAGATGATCGGTATCTAAGTAACGATCATATCATTTTCTATTTTATTATTTATTTTCTGTTTTTTTCTTCCTACATTACTTTATTTAAATTCAAATACCTTTATATTTAATGTATATCCTCATTTTTTGGGCCCTGTCCCTCCTCGTTTTGTGTGCCTTATTTATCCGACGCTTACCTCAGTTTGCACGATGAATCCTGCCTCGTTTTCGATGCGTAGAGCGTACCTCGTTTATGGAGCCCTTCCTCACTTTCCATGCGCCAAGGTACGTCTTGTTCTGCGCAAGCAGAGTCCACCTTGTTTTGTGTTTGTCAAGCCCCCCTAACACCTAAGTTTTTTTGTTAAAAATTCAAATTGTTTATTTTGGCAAAATATTTTCGGTGAGCATTAAGAAAAACTTTATAAGGCATATGGAAACAGTATTACGGTTTATTGAGCAATAAATATAATATAACATCTAAGCCGAAAATTAAGAAAATAAGTGACAAATATAATAATGAGGTCCAAAACATTGTTAAAATGGAGACTCCCAAAAACAATAAAAATGAGTGACATGAGAGAGAAGTCCTCTTCCACCATCTTCTTAATTCTCATGAAGAATATGAACATGAATTATGAGACCACCCTCCCAACCACTTATCTTCATTGGCATCTGGGAGGCTTATCTCCCATTTCAACTTGGCCAATTCTAAAAATGTAAATTATAGTCACCTGACTAGAATTCTTAATTTATAGGGACTTGAGGGCACATAGTTTCAAAAAACCAGCTCTTGGAGCCCATGGTTTTCATGGCAAGGATTGTGTGTTCGCACATGTGCATGCTTCCCACGTCACTTGGTTACATTGGCACCCTTGCATGAACTCCACGTACTAGAATTAGAGGGCTCATACATTAAAGTAATATATATATTTTTTTTCCTGTTTTTTTCTTCCTTCACACACATGTTACCAAAATATCTCTCTCAACTCCCACGCTCTCCTCGCACAATTTTATCTAGCTTCTCTCTGTTCCATATATGTTTTCCCTCTTTTGAAATCTTTTATATTTACACACTGTGTGTGAGCTTCTCACTCAAAAAATAGTGTATGAGCTCATTAGTATTTATTACCTAAAAAAAAATTGGGGATGTAATATAGATACTCTAACGAACTAGTACTACGATTTAGTGGTTTTCTTTTTTACTTGTGAGCGAGATGTTTTAATTTATGTTGAATTCGATGCCTAGTTAGTGGTTGGTCCATTGTATGGCCTAACCAAATCCCCAATCCCTTAGAATTACGTTGTATAAAAGAAATACCAAAACTGCAAAAGTTGTTGTCCCTTACACGAAAGTTCAAATCCCTCTCAAGAACAAGGATTTCAGTTCTTCAGCTGGATCTAAAAGAGTTTACATATGATGTTCCAAAAGTTTTAGCTCAAAACTACTTTTCAGATAATACTTAGAAATCAATAACGATGCAAAAAAGTTCAGCTCTTTTTATTGCTAGCTTAATGAGTTCATTTCTTGACGTGTACGGTAGGAGACATCCATCGCAGTTGGATATCCTCATCAACCTGAAGCCCTTATTCGCTTTAGACTTAGGGGGTAAGCACAACAGATCCAGATGTTTTCCTGTTCTCCAGGTCTGCGTGTGCCTGTGTTGCTTCGGACAACGAGTAGGTGTGGATTCACTCGAACCCGCAATGTACCCGATGCAACATTGGCAAATACCTCTCCTGTAGTCTCTAACAGTTCGTCTCGAGTTACAGCGTAATGAAAAAGGCTAGGTCGAGTCAAGAAGAGGGATTTTGCTGCAATAGCTGATAAGGGAATCAGATTTGGCTCGACTGATGACTGCCCAAAACTCACCATGAGTCCACGAGTCTTTGAGGTTGCCAGCGATCCCTGAAAACAATATCTATTGGTAAGAATTCGTAGTCCAAAACAAATGTTATATATCAGATGAAGTCGAATGCCCCCAACTGAGTTACAAGTCACTTGCGTCGATTATGGAGTTGATCAAGGATATGTATGCAACAACATTTGAGTAAATCATGACATAATTACGGAGATAAATAAGAAGAGTAAAACTTATACGTCAAAACGTATCCTTCCCTACGCCATCATAGAAACATCAACGCCATTGTCGAAAATTACTTATTTCACACGAACGACAAAGTCCTCTTCCTTACAGATTATGACATGGTGGCATCCATCCTCCTTGGCTTGAGCTGCTTTCTCTTGAGTTGATACGGTTCCTATGACAGTGGCACCGAGGGCATTAGCCCACTGGCATAAAAAGGATCCAACTCCACCAGCGGCTGCGTGAACAAGGACCATGTGTCCATGTTCGCTGCATAACGACCCTCAAGTCGTATCTAATAACGACAAGTAACAAAAGTTTCAAAATCTGAAAAGGGGATGGCCAGTGTTATAAATTCAAGACCTAGCAGCATTGCATCACAAAATTAACTGTACCAGATTGCATATCAAAGAAAAATAAGGAGCAAAGGAAACTTCTTTCAAGGAAAACAAACTGAAGTAAAACTCGAAAACAAACGGGTTTTGAATAATCAGTTTCAAAGGTTGTGTATGAACACACTTGATATGGCTCGAGATAAACTATAAACACAATATAAACTTAAGTTTACAAACTCAAATACGTCGAGGCCTCGCTCGATGTCTATGATTGAATTGGACTGAAAAATTGCTAGACTTAATGTATGTCAAAGAAAGATATTTGGAAGGCAGAAGAAGGATTAATCATGAAGAACATTCCAATCGCCAAAGAAATGGTAGGATTGGAAGGGATAAGCTTACTTGACTACTTCTCCTACTTTCAACTTATGGCTCGTCTGAAAGTGTTTTTAGAATGACCGAAAGCGTTTTTGGTGAAATTGATTTTGGATTCCAAAAGCACTTGGAAGAAGCATGAAATATATGTTTCTTGCAAGAAGCACTTAAAACGTTTTTTTAAGATTCACTTATATTTTTAATAAGAATTGGTTTCCAAAATATTTTCACAAAAAGCACTTTTTGTTATTTTAAAAATACTTCCAAATGGCCTTTAGTCAAAATTTAGAAGTTGACTTCCATTTCTTCTTTCGACATTGAATCATAGTGAGTTATTGAATCATAGTCAAAATTTATCAAATCCTTGACACCAAACAAGAACTAACCTTCTCCGGATTAGTCCGATGAATACAAGGGCACAAGAAATCATGTACTCTTGGCTAAAAGCAAAAAGGCTATCACTTTCAGCCCCATCAAACAACTTGGATTTATTGTGATCACCAATTCAAACATTTAGGTTACCCAAAAATACAGGGGAGAGAGGGAGACCTGAGGACCACCAAGTTCATGAACTCGAATGGCTTTCACCATCTTTGTTGGCAATACTGCTTGATTTATGGGCACGAACCATTTTCCGGTCAAAAGTGTGATTTCTTCGTAATTATCCCTTAATAAATAGCCTAACTCTTGTTAATATTATAATGTTGGATTTACATCTTTTTTTAGTCTATGTCTCTCGTACACACACCTGAAATCATAAATATTATTTTTTTTTTGTCAAAAAATCATAAATTGTTAAGTCTATACTACTTATTAATAGATTATCTATATATCTTCCAAATAGGTGAAGCATTTCAAAATGCCAAAAATACCCCTATGTTTTCTTCACTATCAAACCTAAAAAAATTCAAAAAACTAGGACAAATTGGTAAAAAAATAAAATAAAATAACTACATTGAAAACTTTAATTGAAAAACGCAAATTAATTTTTTTTTTTACTATATATGTAAAAAATGAATATAAATACAAAAAAAAAAACAAATATGAAAACTTTAATGGAAAAACATAAATTAACTTTTTTTTTACTATATATGTAAAAAAACGAATATAAATACAAAAACCTAAAATTAAAAAAGTTACAGTAAAAATTAAACATAAGAAATTTTAAAATAAAGTTGGAATGAAAACAAAAAACTTGAAAGAAAAACATGAACGTGCTTAAGAGCAATTCCAGCCCAAGGAAAATGGACCGGCACCAAGTGAAGAAAATGGACCGGGACTCTGTCCATCACCTCCAGCCCAAGAAACAGGCTGGCACCCAGCCCAAGCCAGGCAGCAGCCCAGCCTATTTCGGACGGACCCAGAAGCCGGTCCATTTGCCTGGCGCGTGCACAACACGCACGAGTCCAGGCGAGTAGTCGACAGGCTTTGCAGGCGGTGGGGCCCGCGTGCAGGGCAACTTGCATTCATCCAGCTGAGGGCTACGTGGCCTTCCTCAGAGCCGTTGGATTTCCAACGACTAGTTTTTGTAGGCCGTTGGATTTCCAACGGTAAAAAAAATTTAAATTTAAATTTTAAATTGGACCGTCCGATCACAAATTAACGGTCCACGTTTTTTTCACCAAAAATTAAAAAAAAAAAAAAAGGCCCAACGGTCAGAAATTTGACCGTTGGCCACGTGGCAGCGTGTTGGCTGTTGGATTTGATTATTTTTCAAATCCAACGGTCCAGATTAATTACAACATTAAAATTTATTGAAAATTAATTAAAAAATGTCAAAATTTTTTTAAAAAAATACAGAAAAATTTTAAAAAATTAATTTTTTTTTTCTATAAATACCTAACCCTCATCTTCCACCTTACACCACATTTCAATATTTTCTACACTTTCTACATTTGAATATTTTGTACACTTTGAGAGGAAAAAAGGACTTCGTGGAAGCTCAGTGAAGATGTTACGTTGTGTGAATGTTGGGTTTGCACTATTCATGACCCGA